CTCCATTGCCTATAATATTGCTTCAATTCATATAATGATCTCAACGATCTACAAACCCGCTTCTCAAAATCATCTAGTTGTTTCATGTAGATGTATTATTCTAGAAATCCATAGATTAAAGTTGTGATCAAATCCATGTGATCCATAACAAGATAAAATATTGCAAGAAGTGTGCATATCACAAAAGTTGTAGTATATTTTTCCACGGTTGAGAATTAGAAAAAGCCATTTGAGGTAAATCCAAGTGAGATTCAAACCGGGATGTCATAATTCAAGGGTACAATTCTCCTCGACGATTGAACACTAACAGTTTATTCACATGAGTTAAACTTGTAGTAAGATGTTTTCATGGCATTGTATGTTGTTAGAAATTATATATATTTTAACTACAAAATTTTTTATTCTATGAAATTTTTGATATTAGATAATATTTGTTTTGTGATTTGAAAAAAAAACAATAACATCATCGTGTATCATTAATTTTTATAAAAAATTGATGATATATGACACCAAGTCTGTTTATGATGCAAACAAGCTTAAGTCCCAGAGAGTTTGTTTTTGTGTGATTTCTTTCAAAAATAATAAGCTATGTCATTCTTGAACTATTTTGTTGATGTGTGTGATGAAGGTTTGATAGACACATTATTGATGCGATTTACTAGCAAGTTAGTTTGATTGCGTTATAATATGTTTGTAGATAGGAACTAAACAATAAGTTGATATAACTAAAATACTCATATCAATTTATCTTAAACCTAAACTCTAAAATTCATCTATCATGTTACAGATTAGATGACTATTTGATAATAAAAAAATTGAATGCATATAAAACTTTATTGTGATCAATTTTTATTGGTGTTTGATAATTTTTGACTTTGATCTAACAAATTGTATGTTGTGATGCAGTATGATAAAGTTATAAACTTTATAAAGTTTAAAATTTAAATGAAGCTTCAAAAGTTTAGGTTTGGACCTTTAAAGTTTTCTTTAAAGTTGAAGAACTATGAAAACACTTTGAAACTTTGTCTAGATTAAAAATGCAAAAGACATAAACATTAAAATCAATCATCAACATAGCATTAGACACGTTTTTAGTTAAACTATTAATGTTTAAATAAGGAAAAAGATGAATATTTTGATTAATTTGAAAATAAATTTTCATAATGAAGAAAAATTTATTAGAATATAAATTTCTCAATAGAAATTATATTGAGATTCAAAAATTTGATTGACTATATATGATTAATAGCTGAAGATATGGCAATCACATAAATATTAAATATCCTCAAATTGTCCATTGCAATGGTGTCATTAATCTGCTTTAAACTTTCATATGTTTAAGGAAAAAAATATGACCTATATTTTTAATATAAATAGTAGTGACTTTCTAAATTAATATCATGATGCTTTATGTATTTTATACAAGAAATATGTCATCTTTTCATTTTGCCACTACTGGGTATTTATACCAAAGTTATTTATTTTCTGATGGGAATCACTACATAGATTTAATATACTGTTTACAAATTATTTTCGATTCTAAAAGGAAAAAAATCATTATTAAAATTTAAATTATATAAATCTGATTTTGAGTACCTACATGTCAGATTTGAAAAAACATATCAAAAATTATGTGTGACCTTTTTATCTCATCCTATTTGAATTTTTTACTATCGCAAAAGTTTTTTCACATGTTTTTATATAAACGCAGCTGAAATATGGTAAATTCATACAAAAATCAAAATACTCTGTGATCATCAGATGATTGTAAAATCTTATTCTGATTCTCAAAATCGTATAAATTTTGACTTATTTCTAAAAAATCAACGATATTTTATGCAGTGAGTCATTCTATAAAATTATAGGAAATCTTTCTTCTTCTGGATTTTTGTTTCAATAATCAAAAGCACATACTCTAGAGAAAAACCATAAAAAATTATTCACCCAGAATTCAAATTTGAACTGATCTACGTATTGAACAGAAACTTCTTACTAGAATGGTACTTAAAATTACATATCTCATCCAGAAAATGAAACAAGTGTTAAATTGTACCGCCAATTGATTCGTAAACAAAATTAACTGATAAGAATAGAAATCTGCAGAAAGAAGAGTCAATCAAATCTCTTTCTTTGAATTTCAAATATTATATTTTACTCTTTCTTTGATTAGGGTAAGTTACTAAAAAATTTTAGTAACTTACCCTAGCTAATGTTTATTATCATCACATTCCACTCTGAAAAAAGGGCCCTAATTTGACATCCTCCCCTGATGATAGCCCTAGGTTTGTTCATGATGCCATCGGCCCTAAAAGCCCACCTAGTATGAACGATCTAATGCATTCACTGTGGTTTATGTTCTTGCATGCACACAACTAGGTAACTAGAAGTGCTGTTACATATAAGTAGTGACATTGTACACTCTAACCTTTAGTGCTTGCCTTTGCTAGACGTCCCTTTAAGTTTCTTTTCACGAGGAGAACGAAGCACGGCATCCGTATATTACAAGACAACCTTCTTCAGCTTTATGACAATACTGGAATTACTTTGAAGGAAGATTCGAGATTTTATAATGTCCATGCAATTGTGAAGGAATTGAGCTTACATTTAGGTTCGTCTCAACGTTACAGTGCCAACATTTTTTCTTTTCTTTTCTAAATTGCTGACATATTCAGGTGGATGACAACGGAAAAAATGTACGAAGACCAGGTTATTTTTTTGGGTGTGTGTGGATATTTTGGTATTTTTGGAGGCCCATGTTGTTTGGGGTGACCTCGGAGTGGCGACTGAAGGGAGTACCTAGGCTGCCCAGTATTTGGGCCCTTTTTCGAGGTTCTAAATGCTCCATACAGATACAGATGTACTCTTTATGTGAAAACATGCACTTGTTCAATACAAACAATAACTTCTTTAATTTTAAATGAAACTTGTTCTGTTTAGTGAGTCAATTTTCTGTATATTCGTTTTGAACTAGATCGTCTATTTTCAATGATTAGTAATTGCATCTACAGTTCGAGACGTTGCTACGAATCGTTCTGGCGACTCTGAGGCAAGCTCAGAGTGTTCTATGGGTGCCCCATGGATCCAGTGATGGTGTTTGGATTAAAAAAAGCTTTGCGTAACTTTTGTTGCAAGGTCAAAGCGTCAGAGAAGACACTCTGATCAGTTTCTAAGCACCGCGATCTCAGTACAGATCACAATTCGAGAGAAGCTACATAGGACCGCCGAGCCCAGTGCAAAATTTTAAAGGCTTCCATGGCTTGCAATACAATATCTTTTGGAGACAATTTCTGCTGTGTAAATCATAGATGATTAGTGCAGATTGGTCAGACGACATAGAACATTTTCAGACTGTAAGATCTCACTTTTTCAAGGGGACCGACAGGGCGAGGACGGAGACCGTTTCGAAAACGGTCCAGGTTTCCGTGGCGTACAATAGTCCCCGTTTCAGAAGGACATGCAAACTTTGGAGCGTAAAGCTCTCGGACTGTCGATCAGATGAGCCCAACATTTGCTTGCAGGCCGGATGTCTCCCGTTTCGATACGAACCGACATCGCACGCACTCGTAAAATAAGGTTCGACGATTCCGAGGCTCACAGTGATGCCTCTTTGATTGACGGTATATATATATTTTTCTCGCAAATCTCTTCGACTCCCGATCAGACGACCGTGTCCCCGGCAGCGCCATGAATTCCAGTCGACGTAGGCAGAATTGTAGACAAAAAGACAAAACACAGGACGACGGGACGGACTTCCATGTTGCGTCCTGCGTCGGGGGGGGTCCGAGGCAGCTAGCTCACCAGGGAATTTTATTAGTAGTTGCAGTGGTTCTCGGTGGCAAAAATTCAACCGTCGCCTCCGGAAGATTCACAGATCACAGTGCAGCCATGGGGATCAAGAGGGTGACGCATAGCACGCAGGCAGGCGGGCGGGCGGGCGGGCGGGCTCAGCCGGAAGAAGAGAATACCGTTTGTGCACGCTCGATCTCAGTGAGCGAGACAGAAGAAATGAAGCTCCTCGAAGCGGGGCCTAAGCCTTGCCCAGCCCAGCCCAGCCAAGCCCAATTTTGGTTCTCTATTATATCGGACGCTGACAGCACGTTCGAGCTAGATAGCCTGCGCCATCGCCCCGTCCCGTCCCCGACCCCGACCCCGCTGAATTGGGGGGGATCGACAATCCTGCGCATGCCCGACAAACAGATGGACATGCAAAATCTCCAGAGCAACGCATGCAGACGCGACCGGTGATGCAAGCTCGATCCTCAGGGCTCTGACAGTCGTTTTGCAACGAAATTGGCAGAGAGACGAATGAATGACGAAAATCGAATCTGTGTCATGAGCCGAGACTCGAAAGTTGTTGAAGGGTGACGAGAAAAGAACGTATGCAGGAAAGGTGAAGATACTACTGTAGCTAGCCTGCACGCCGTGCTCGGGCCCCGCGAACAATCCATTTTCAAATCGCTGCCGATCATCAGCTCGGAGACGAAGAAATGTACGTGATCCGGGTCGCGTCGCGGCGCGGCATGGCATGGCAAGGCCTGGGGCGTGCCCGGCGTGGGTTGGTGGGTGGGTGGCATTTCTTCCGTCATTCCATGCACCTCTGCACAAGTTCTTCTTCGCACTCGTCCTCGATCATCAGTCAGTCAGTCAGTCAGTCAATCAGTCAGTCGACCGATTCGATGGTCCGGTGGTCGGTCAGCCCGGCAGTCAGTCGAGCCCAACCCCGGCCCGGTCGGTCATGGATTCATTCATCTCCCCTCCCACTGCCGACGCGGTAAGTGGCTACATCATCCGCACCGGATGCAGTCGGTCCGGCTTTTACTTCGGGGATGAAGTTTTGGTGGGCGCATCGACTGCATCGTCATGATCCAGGTGATCGCGGTCGATCGCGGTCGATCTCGGTCCAAAATGGCCGGAGGAGCCCGAAGACGGCCGTCGACGGGATGCAGGAGGAGGAGGAGGAGGCGGAGGAGATTCATTCGCCTCGAATGTCGGTGGGGAGAGAGTCCTACGACGTGAATGAATGCCTCGCTCCAGCCAAACCACGTTCTGCAGGTCTATCTTAAAGCCGAGTCCCAAACAAACCGACGCTCGGCAGCCGCTCCGCTCCAAATATATTCTGTCCGGCATTTCGCTCCGCCAGGACGGAAGGAGTGCGGGCAGGATGATGGTGTGGTGGGGAGAGATGGCGCTAACCTATGCTAGTCTAGAGCCTAATTAACCATTAATTTTAGCGACGAATCGATCGCGCGCCGCTAGTCGCAGGTCCGGATCCCGGAAGGAGGAGGAGGAGGAGGAGGCGAAGGTCAAAGGCGCGGGAGGGGACTGGGGATGGGGATGGGGACGGGGAAGGGAAGCGAAGGGAAAAGTGCCATGATCTGCATGCGCTCATGCCGGAGGTGACGTTTTCGTGACAGATTCGCAAACAGTTTCGCAACTTGGCAACAAACAAGGGAATATTGGCAACAGAGGCGATCCATGAGCGAGGGCGGGCAGGCAGGCAGGCAGGCAGCAGATGTCATTTTTAACCCGTGCAGAGATTTATTGGCCTGCTCAGGGTCGCCACGTGGTGGTCCTTGTGTTCGCCGTACCCGAAGAAGCTCCTAGAGAGGCGCGGTGCCAGGGTGCCGATCGCGCTCTTATTTAGCCGGTTCTTACTTCTACCGCCTCCTAAACGACAACCGGCAACTGTCCCTCCTCTCGCAGGGATCTCGAAACCTCGGCGCAAACTTTGCACATTCATCCGTTGGGAATACTGCGGGCATGCGCCCGGCCCCCCGGGCTCCTCTGCTCTGCCCTCGGCTCTGAGCCCTCTTCTCGATTTGGCTGTGACGTTGGACTGACTGGCGACCGCGGTTCGGATCGGTCTCGTCTCGGCTCGCACTGTGCTCGTTGGAACCCGCACTGGACTGCGGCCTGTTGTTTGTCGATGCTCGGCTAGCCGAGCCGAGCCATATTCGCTTCTCCATCGGTCAGAGCGGTAACTGATCCAGCTGACCCAGGGAATGAAGCGGGTTCCGAGGGCCCGATCGCTCCAACGACGACAACAGGGCGGGCACGAGGCGGGCGAGACTGTTGCTTGTACTTTTTCGAATCGCGGCAGTCATCATGCGATTCGTACGTGGGGGATCCGGTGGTCGATCGGACGCTGGAGAAGTAGCGATTGCGGTCAGAGGCTCAGAGATCTTCGGGAGTGAGTGTCAGAACACAAGCCTTCGCGTGGCGATGCAACACCTCCTCATCTGGTGGACGCCAGTGCTGTAACTATTTGCTTGCGAGTTCCTCCTCTCGCGAATCTGGACAAAGTCGTAACTCCTCGCCACCAGCACGCACCAGCAGCTGCAGCTGCGATCGATAGAAAGCTCCTGGCGAGAGTCGTCCCGAACCCGAACTAGACCGCGAACTGGAGAGAGTTTCAGGACGTCTGTCAACACGTTGTCTTCGTTGTGGGCCAAGGCGGCCGTGGACTTACCGACAGTACTGTTGCAGTCGAGTTGGAAGTCTGATGTTTGAGCTTTTGGAAGGACAGCAAGGGCCCAAGCAGCTACAGGACACACTGTATTTTGATTCTCGAAGAGGTGCTCTCTCCTCTCGGGCGACGCTTCAAGCTCTCGCCGAGCTTATCTTCTCGGAGTCAAAGGCGGGAGCTTGACCGGCCCCGGCCCCGGCCCCTGCCGAGATTCCCCGGCTCAAGCACCCGTCCTCCCTCCATCCCATGCCCTGTTTTCAAGGGCTGGCCGCGATGAGCAAGTGCTGGCCTACCTAGCTTGGTTCTGGATAGTGAAGAACTGTGGTGTGGATAGAAGGACGATTTGCACGCGCTGCCGAAGTTGAATTCAGCCTTCGTCAAACAAATGACAATCGCTGATTTGCACAATAAACCAATTGATCCGGTTCATATCTCCTGATCCTGAGTATTTTGTATTTATCAGGTGTGAAGAGGAAGGGGGTCCCGGGTCATCGAACAAAATCGTCTTCGAGCCCCTCTCATACAGAGCTGCAGCTGCTGCACACTCGATGATTTCGTCGTACTAAGCCCTACTTTGAAGCCTCGATATCTAGGCCGTCATGCCGTCCTACCTCACCCGAGCTTTACGCGCATCTTCAGCTCAAAAGAGGCATAATGTTATCTCCCCCTAATGTCTCCCATCTCAATCAGGGCGTGCACCTGTAACGCTCAGTACAAGGCCGTCTGTTCTGTTTGATCAAGATAACACTTGGGCATAATTTTTTTTGAACTATCTCCCTCGATGCGGCATGGAGTAGATCTGTCACAAGGCCCCAATTTTTATCGGTTTCAGAGTCAGAGCGCAAGCACGAGAGGAACTGATAGTTTGTGTGTGCGTGGAGCTTGGGGCTTGGCTGGGGCTGTTTGAGGGCCGGCCAAGACTCAGATCTACCGGTCGGCTTAGCACCGGTCAGACACGCACCTTCCATGATGGTTCGATGTAGATACATACATCCACAAGTCCAAAAGTGGATAAGATCCTGTCTGGAGTGCACATGGATCCAAATCCATATGCCGTTTCAACCGACTCTCATCAATCGAAGACGAGTTTGTTCTCGCAGCAACACAGTTTTCCACGAACGATACATCGGATTTACATTCAACTGCATTATAATACTTATATCGTCTGGCCACCGTGGCCACTCATCTACCATGGTCCTACTAGTTAGAGAGAGATTGAGACGTTACGAAGGGAAGGGAAGGTAAGATAAGGACAATGCAGACTAGATTTAACCCCGTCAGTCCTTACCTTCTAAGGCTGGACCATGTGGGGTGATCGTCCTTACAGGCATGAATTGCGACGCAGGTGAAACATCGTGAAAAACAAACGGGAAGTCGTGCAGTGCTTGCGAATGAAACATAGACAACTATTCGAGTGATATATTCGTCCCGGGCCGTGCCATAAGTTGGTCATGAATGCTGGGATGGGATGAGATTGGATGGGCTATGCTCGCTAGGCTTGACTTGCTCTACGGGGCATGCGCGCTATGTGAACTCAGGCCCTGAGGCCAGAGGGAGGTAGGGAGGGAGAGCAGCTACATACAGTATATCGGGCCTTATTCAGATTACTCTTCCAGTTCGGTTCCCAACATCCGTTGTCAAATTCGCTTGTTACGTAATGGCATTCGTTTCTCGTGGGAGTGGAAAATAATGACGTACGTGGCAGGTGTGAGAAAAGTTCTTGCTACCTGGCCAGTGGTACTGCTTTGTACGAGGCCTCCTCCTCCTCCTCCTCCTCCTCTGCCTCTCTTTCACTCTCGGCATTGGAGGATGACACTAAAAGATCTTCCACAGCGTACCCAGCGACGTGCTCTTCTCCACATTTGCACTTGTCGATCTGGTAATCACCTACTCCCGGTTCGCTTTCTCGCTGAGTCTTATCAGCTTGACGGAGACGAGCCCTCGCGTTGTATAGGAGGCAGGGAGGGCAGCTCTCAGTGAACATTCTTGCCTTTGGCCACATGTTTATCAAATCATTTGCTTTGACAAGTCTCTTGCGTTGACATCTATCGTATCAAGACAAACTTTCTCGAGTCAAATGATTTCAGAAAGTCTTCACACAAGAGGAGAAGACGCTTGCTCTTGAATTACTCAATGATGCACGCAAGCTTCTTCGAGTAATACAAGACTAAACACCTTGGAAAGAGAGACCTATGTAGGCATCTTTTTCCTCAAAAATCACTTTAGATCCACGGAAACGTCAATCATTGCTAAACAACGTCAATCAGAAAATCATCATCAGATCATAGTTTGAATTATCTGGTTCCTTTGCGGGTGCCCATTCATCATCCATCCACCATCTACGATTTGTTTGCATTTGTAGCTCGAAGGCAAGATTGTGGGCTGTGGTTGTACGTGGCGATCACTTTCTGTGGCGTGGCCCGCTCGCTCGGAAGGAAGGAGATGCGTTTTCGAAGGCAGGTGATGGAATTTTGGCTTTTGCATGCTAGAAGCTTTACTTTATTCCTGGTACACGATTGGTGGGATGGTACACAGAAGCATACTACATGTACCATGCTTGATCCACCGGGCTAACTCGATACAAAACTAGGCCAATGATTTTGTTGAATGATTGGATTACAATTAAAGCTGGAAACCACCAACGTTAAGAAATGTCATCTCATCACGTGAACGATCAGAGATAGAAAAACTTTCTATCACCCCCGCTCCAGGACGGTTGCATTCCCGAGACAATCCGGGACATGGTCCAAACGCTCTCCGAGAAATTCCGACCTTTCTAGCGCAGGTTGTCAGCTGCCGCTGCTGCCGAGAGATCCTATCTATCCTCCGAGCTGCTGCATATGGTTCGGAAAAGTCTCTACTACACAGGCGATCCTCTCACTCTGATAAGTGGCAGATCCGCTCGTCTAGATTCCCCACCTGATGGCTCACGCACAAGTGTAGGATCAATCAGTCTCTCGCTCGCCCTCAGAGAGAGGATTTCCCAGCCAGCTATAACAGGACATCTTCGCTCACTTGCCAGTGCTGCGGATGGGACACAAAAGTCATTCTGTCCTGGCAATGGAGCTCCGAAAGAACCACAGAGAGGACCGGACTCCAGAGTCCAGTCCACTCACTGCTACACTGCGGAAGGAGATCGATCAATAAGAAGAAAGAAGAGACGGGGTGCACGAACTCAGTCACAGAAAGAAAGCGAGAGCTCGAGAGCAGGCCAGGCCAGGCCAGTACACAACAGAACAGAGTGCACAAGGGGGGGATGGTGGTAGAGAGAAGGGCGAGGGCGAGAAGATTCGCAAGGGGCGGGACGGGGCGGGGCCTTGCGAGGGGCTGCTGGGGTTGGTGTCAGAGTTATTCGCCTGCTGAACTAGAGTAGGACTGATTCTCGAGTGAAGGGGAGGGGAGGGGAGGGAAGGGGAGAGAGAGAGAGAGAGAGGGAGAGGAGTCCTGGAAAGTTCGGCCGTTGTAATCGAGAGTAGTCGAGATCACATGGCAGATCATGGATACTTGCATGGAAGGGAGCGAGAAAGAGCACTTTATTCCGTCCACATGTCAGTCAGGTGGGCGAAGAAGAACAAACCAAACTCACTTCAGTGTCACGATGGTGCACTGTGCCAAAATTTCCTTTCTAAAGCGAGAAGAGCCATGTTGTCAATGGGGGGGTGGGGCTGGCCGGGCTGGGCTGCTGGGCTCTCGGCCTGGCCTGGCGTGGCCTTGGCTTGGCCTGGTCGCTGGCTGCATCTACTTATCTGCTAGAAGCTCTGGTCCCTTGTCTTCATCTGCCATAGCCGAGCTCCAGTGACCAATTGGTGTACAGTGCTGTGAGCGGGCGGACGGCGCGGTGCTCGTGCAACAATTGATTCTAGCCTCCATCGCATCGATGCGTCGTCGAATCTCATCACATCTCACATCACCCATCGTTATTATTGGGCCCCCACAGAAACAAATTCATCATCTCATCATCATCGTCGTCGCAAACTCAAAAGTCTCTCTGTCAGTCAGACCTCTCCGTCACATCCATCACACAGACGAGAAGTTTCGGTTTCACTGCTCTACTGCCCTCCCTACTCCTCTACGCCTCTCCGTCCCTGCCATGCCCTGGAGGAAACGAACTCTCCTCTCACGAACCGCTGAGATTCCATAGGACTGCTGCTGCTGCTCAGTACTCCTCCGTCCTCTGTAAATAGTAAAGAGGGTAAATCGGGGGGCAGGCGCAGAGCAGAAAAGTAGTTTGACGTGGGTCGGGTCGCCTTAGATGGATGCGGTGACATGGATTTGGAATGAATGTCAAAAATCTGAAGATTCTGTGGAGAGCAGCCAGATTCAAGTTTGGCGAGCTCTGTCTGTCGCATCGTCTGTGCTCCTCCTCACGTGGATGGCCCGATGCGCTCATTGATTAGTTAGTTAGCAGTTTGTAATCCGGTTGGAGAGAATGGAATGAATGTCTTTGACATCACCCAAGTCACCAGCCAGCGCCAGCGCCAGCCCAGAACCGGCATCCTTCGGAAGCCCGACCGGCACGTTCGGCGAACTACCGACACCTACAGCGACGTGCCGGCTAGTTTTCAACCGGCTGAGTTTCTCCCCGGTTTCTAATCCGAGGCCAGAAACCCGGTCCGGCCACCCTCAGCGCCCCAACGGTCAGCTCGACCATGACCCGGCCAGCCCATCTCCCACGAAAGTCCACTGCCATTAGAGAAAAGGAGCAGGCAGCTGATTTGGAGGATAAGGATGGGCTACTGTTTGGGGTCTGGCTGTGGCATGGCAGGGAGTGGGGTGGAGTGGAATGGAATGGAATGGAAGGAAATTCTTGTAGTGTACTGTGCGACTGTGAATCCCTCGTCTCTCTCTCGCCCGCCTGCAACTGTTGGGCAGTACAGTTCTTACCTTTCTTATCTTGCCTCCGGCTCCTGCTGTTGTGCTCTGGCGTGAGTGAGGCCAAGATCGGCAGTGTGTAATATTTGAACCAGCGACTGTCACATTCGAGCCATAGGAGGAAGGGACGAATTGGAAACCTCATCTCACCTCACCCCACCCCACCCCTCCCCTCCCCTCGATTAAAAACAGTGCCCATCGAATGCCAAAAATCGAAGTGCAGCGAGCGGCATAGAAAAAGGATGGAAGATCCCGCCGAGCCGTACAGGGATGGATACCGAGGTGCGAGGGTGGGGCTAGGCCCCGATATCATTACAATCGCACCTGAGGTGTGTTTGCAAACTATCTGGATCGAAGGACGATAATATGGGGAAGTCGGAATGCATAGAATAATAGAAGGCGATGGATATGCACACACAGGCGGTCAGCAACGGCGCTCGGTTCTTCGCCGGCTGGCTAACGCGGCAGGTCGCTCCACCGGTCATGTGACTGGCATCGGGAGCGGAGCTCTCACAACGTGGTTGTTGTAAGTCAAGATTCTTGACCGCGGATTTACAGCGTGTGGGTAACCATTTATGGTGTACATGCCACGTCGAGTCCGGCTGACTCCGATTACCATCATTAACCACCTGCGATTGGGGAGCGGAATCTTCTGTTGTCCTTGGTGCTGCACACGTGTGTGAAATCCTTCTCTGTACGTAAATAGGTACAAGTGTACAGAAAGCATCATTCCGTCGTTGCTGGTTGCTGCTGCTGCTGTAGTTCGGAATTCACCCGGTCGATTGTGCTCTAGCTGTCTTAAAAAAAGTGCAGTAAGAAAAATTCTCGGCGATGGGCTCAGGTCCAGTGTCTCTCCTCTCTCGCTTGCTGCTCTCTGTGCAGGCACGCGGGCGCCGAGCAGAAGCAGGGAGCAACAAGGAGGAGGAATAGGACCGTGCTAAGTAAGGAGGTAACTAGCCAAATCGTGCAGACACATTTTTTATGATCCGACGGTGGATGACCGGGGCCTGGCTAGAGTGGGGAGTTGTCAAGAGGGAATGAGCTGACAGGAATAGGGAATCGCACAAGGAGGGCGCCTTCACGGGCTGGCAGAGGGCGGGAGCACTCGCTCGCTCGCTGGAAGACGCAGCAGCCGCAGCGAAGCTCCTCTCTTCTCTTGAGTTGTCTTGCGATAAGTCGAGTTGAGGTCATGTCAGGCCCCTCTGTCTGTCGCTTTCGCCTTGTCTTGCATCTGTCCATTCTACCCGGGCCGACACCCTCCCCGAGGCTGATGATGATGGACATGACAGATTGGCAAGGGGAGAAGAATCTTGCACCAAATGCCCAGAATCCAAAACAAGTTTCGAGAGCTCTGAGTCAGAGTCTCGCCTTCGTCCTTGACACTTGCTATTACAGGACTTTCTATTTGTTCGTTGCACAGCTGAGATATTGCTTTCCCCTTCACTTCTTCTAACTTTTCTGCTTTCAGCGTCTTCCACTTACGGGAGACGGCTGAAATGACGTCAAGGTGCGCGTTTTACTGCAAAACCAAGCGCGTGGCCTTGATTTTACACAACGAACCTAGTACAGCCGCCGCGGTCTACGCTCAGATAGAGAGAGGGAGAGAGAAGAGAGAATGCTGGCAGCTCGGCTCCTCCTCGGCCGTGGTAGATTTGCATATTTGTACAACCAAACACCAAGACCACTGTTCTGTTTGATCTGTTAGAGGACTCTTGGGTACTCGCCGTATACGAGTAGAATAGCAGGTGCCGAAGCAGGTGCACTGATTACTGTTATAACAAAACAAGCGCCCTGCACAGCATATGAAAGAAGGCAAGGCAAGGCAAGGGAAGGGGAGAAACAGATAATTTACTATAAGTTTGAAACCCGGAGCACTTGATATGAAACCACGAAACCTTGTTCGCCCCTCAACTCACCACACCACCTCAACGAGGTCGAAGGTGTCTACAATAGGCTGGTGGCAGGCAGGGGCAGTACCAGCGAGGTGGGGGGAGGGAGGGGAAAGAAAGGAAGAGCAGGAAGGAAAACGTAAAGAAAAAAAAATGAGGGGGGGGGGGGGGGGGGGGGGGGGAAAAGGCAGAGAAGAGAGAGAGAGAGAGAGAGAGAGAGAGAGAGATTGGGGTGGCAGGGCAGGCACAAAGATGATGTTCGGGGGCATTTACCTGCCGGCATGACAGTACCCTGGTACCAGTCGTCACTGTTCACCACGGTACAGCTATACTCCTGCAGTCCTCCTCTTCATGGGAAATGTCTTCCTCTTATAAATCAGGGTTCAAATTCCCTCCTCCTCACCACGAGAATTGCGCTCTCCGGCTCCCTGCCTTCTATTCAGGGGACGTACTCAGGAACACTTCTCACACACACCCTCGCACACACCCTCCCCGCACCAGCCTGCACGCAAGCACCGTACTCTCCGGGACCGAGCACACGCACAAAGTGCAGAAACAGCAGTCCGCCGCAGCAGCAGCAGCTGCAACATCAGCACCAGCTCCCACTACTTAGCATTCGTCATCCGCTTCGTTGCACCTCTACATCTTCTCGGGATCCCGTCCCCATCCCTCCCCTTCCCATTCCTCCCCCCGGGCGTGTGCTCCATAACAGTCGCCTCATGCCCTTTCGGCGCTCCCTTTGCTTCCCATTTCTCCGGATCTCTTAGCTTGATGCGCCTTCCTGCTGCTCTAGAAGCGTTCGTTCGCGTAGCATCGGTCAGATTGCTACTGTCGGGAACTCACCTCGGCTTGCATCGAGCTCTAGCAGCTCATTCCGTGGTTGTGGTGGTGGTGGTGTTTTCGTTCTTCTTCCTCTTCTTCTTCGTACAGTCCATGTCCGCGCGCAGCATCCGTCGCACCTAGAGCGAGGGTCGAGCACCGTTCTGCACATACCGGGCATTCGCATCTACAGTCTGATTTCTCGCAGCGATTCCGAAGTTTGAGATTGTTGCGCCGGGAATTTCCTGTCTGCCTCTCTTGTTGTGATTATCTACCTCGCCTCACGGGTTATTAGCCGCGCACGACCGATGGCCGCAATGACTATGACTCGTCCGAACGACCCTTTTACGTCAGACATCGCTAGATTCCACGAGGTGAAAGGGGCGAAGGATGAACCATTCGCAGAACTTACTCGATACCACGAAGTCAGGGGAGTACGGGAGATGGTGGAGAGCTTTCGAGTCAGGGAAGTTCCCTCGTATTACGTGAAGCCTGTGAACGAGCGGCGATTCACACCGCCGTCCGCAGCAGTTCTGAGTATGGAGCAGCAAATTCCGTGCATTGATCTCGAAGCCCTGTCCGGTCAGGAGTTACTCTCGGCAATTGCCAACGCCTGTAGGGACTGGGGATTTTTCCAGGTTCTGAACCATGGTCTCCCTAGTCAACTCGTCCAGAACATGGCCAAGCAATCGAGCGAGTTTTTTGCGCAGCCTTTAGAAGAAAAGATGAAATGTAGCACGCCTGCGAGGGTATCAGGTCCGGTGCATTTTGGCGGGGGAGGCAACAGGGATTGGCGAGATGTCTTGAAGCTCAATTGTGCCCCGGCATCGATCGTTGCTAAAGAGTATTGGCCCCAAAGACCAGCTGGTTTCAGGTAAGGCTTCCAGAGTTCCGACCTGCAAGTCAATCAGTTCACGAGATATGTCGTCTTTCCAATCCTCGCAAACGAACTTGGATGCTTGAGCTTCACGCCCCTCGGTCCTAGATTCTTTAATTTTCAATGCCCGCTGTACGCCACTCTTCCTTTCTATCAATCCCGGATTCCAAAGGGCCGGTTAGACTGCCTCTTTATCTTCAACACACTCGCCGCAATGACTGAGTGTGAAATTCATCACAGCATGAGCTTCGGAGTGAAGCCCACTCTGCTCGTTAGCAAGCGGAAAGTCACTGCCTCCGCTGCCAGGAGGAGGCAGTGACTTTCTTCAATCAGCACGGTCAGGCTGCCTGCATTTTGCAGGCAGCCTGATTGTGTTTCGTCGAAGGCTGACGTCCAGTTTGCAGGCCACTCATCACAAATTTGCTTTCCCGTATATTCTGCCGTCATTCATTCGGGAGAAGATATGTCAGCTTGCCAGGGTACTAGACCATGCTCAGAGTGGAGGGTGTGAGCGAGTTCTGACTGAGAAAGTGGGCGGAGAGTCTGTTCACATATCTTTTATAATAAGGCAGAATTTCAGGAATTAGAGTATGCTCGCGAGTCGATTTCAAGGATATCTTATATTTGATCATCGAACTCGCAATTGATCTCTTCCCCGCACGTGTTTGGTTGTGCATTGCAGGGATACGATGGAAGAGTATTCCAGCCAGCAACAGGCACTGGCCATCAGGCTCTTGAAGTTGATAAGCGAATCTCTTGGCCTGGAATCGAACTATTTGGTCGCAGCCTGCGGGGAACCCAAGGTCGTGATGGCAATCAACCACTATCCTCCTTGCCCGGACCCGAGCTTAACCATGGGAATTAAGGCGCACTCTGACCCCAACACAATAACCATGCTTCTGCAAGACGATGTTGGCGGCTTACAAGTTTTCAAGGAGGACAGATGGATCGATGTGAGACCTTTACCGAACGCTCTTGTCATCAACGTGGGGGACCAGCTACAGGTTTGTTTTATATTCGTCGACGACACTCTGAATTTTTCCTGTTTGTGAAATGCTCACTTCGTCATCTGTTTCCGACTGAAGATTTTGCACACAGTCGGCACGATCAATCAGAATGCTTGCTATTATAGGATCAGATCATATCGGGCCAGGGCAGGGAAGGGAAGAACTAGTGCTGTACGGGCAGTGAGAATGGATGGTGGCATGATGAGTGTAGGAAGGCGCAGTGAGCTGATTAGGTGCACGAGCTCTGAGCTCGTGCGGTTTTAGCAAAGAAATGCATGCGGGTTCAGTGTCGTGTGGAGAAGATTCGGGCCATTACTGGGGGGAACAGGGGGTCTTCCAGCAGTAGACAAGCGACCAGCAGAGCAGAGCTGGGTAGAGTCGAGCAGTGGTCGGCCGTTAGGAGTAGTAATAGTAGTAGTAGTAGGGCTTGCACGCGAGATGCGATGGGATGCAAATGCGATGGGGATAGAGTAGAGGTTTGTTGATCGTTTGTCGAGTAGTCGAGAAGAGGCCGGGTCCAAGTTGGACTCGAGAAGAGGCTCATTGGACTGATGTGCTTATTGTACGTGGTGCGTGTTCAGATTCTGAGCAACGGAAAGTACAGCAGCTGTTTACACCGAGTAGTTAACAACAATCGGCAAGCACGGACATCCATCGCCACGTTCTTCTCGCCAGCGCATGCGTGCATCATCGGCCCAGCTCCGGGTTTGGTGGATGAGGTGAACCCCGCCATCTATCCGAACATCGTGTACGCAGATTACATCAAGGCTTTCTATACGCAAGCACTGGGACCCAACAACAAAAATGGTGGCTACCTGGCTGGCATCGAGCTTCACAGAAGATACAACTGCTACACCTCCTCCTCCTCCATCTCCAGCTAGCAAGCATCTACTCATCGCCCTCCCTTCCTGCCTCCCTTCCCGTCTATCTGTCTACCCTCCACCCCATCGGCATACTACATTGACATATTCAGTACGACAACAACCGAGTTCGCTGACACTGCACTCACTGCCTGCCGCTATCCCTCGAAAATCGTCTCGAAAATCCGCCTTGCATTGTTTTTCACGTTCGAGCCTCGGCTCAATGTAGGTAGATTTCTACTCATACTGGATATACATATTATCGCCATCGCTCGAATCCGCAGCTGATGATGGTGTACTGAGGAGTTTCAATTCGGAGCCCGCCCGCCAGCTACGGGACCCAGCTCGCCCACCCGACCCACTGCCCACGCAGCCAGCCACGCACGCACGCACGCACGAACCAACGAACGAACCAACCGACGAACGGAGGCAGCAGCCGAACGAAGCCAACCAGGGCAAGCCCCCGAGGCACCAGCCCAGCCCCTGCCATCTCACGACGCCACGGACGGAAAGCCAAGTGTACTCAACTCGAACACGACGAAGAAGACGAAGACGAGGACGAGGACGAGGAGAGGTGCCGCGAGATCAAGTCTTCCTCGGAGAGTGCGAGAGCGGATGAGAATCATGAGCCCCTCCGCTCCGAGGAGTGGCTGCCGGATTTTGATCGCTGGGTCTCGAGTCGCGAGTCGAACGACATTTGCACACAGGAGGAGGAGGAGCAGCAGCAGCTCTGGTGAATCCTAGTTAGACACACCCTTTCCAACTCAACTCGGCGACTAGAATTTGCAACCGTGTGTGTGAATTTTGTAGTTTAGGTCTGTTACCACCATTCTTTAGGGGCTATAAAAGAAAAGGCCCCCTTGTCATTTACGAGCAATCTGACAATGTAAAGTTGTCCTCATCTTCCGGATATCGACCGTCTGCGGACTTGGTCTCTTTCTAATTCTCGATTATCGCTAATTCTCACGAACTCCCTCCCTCCCGTCTACGTCGCATGTTTTATTCGCCTCCTCCCTTGCCTTGTCTTGTCTTGGTGCCGCCGCGTAATTGGACTTATCGATGGAATATTTGTTGGTTGTCCCGGTCGTGAGGACGAATTGGAGTGGCGTGAGGTGAATGAGGTTAACGAGTGTCGCTTGAGGCATCCAGCTTTTGGCCCATCCCTCGGCCCCGATTTCTTCGACATGCACACCCTCCCTCCCTCCCTCCCGCCCTCGGCTGTCCGTTCAAATCGCGGACCGAGGAAAGAGCGAAGAGTCGTGTCGTTGCAATTAGAGGGAGACAAACCGCTCTTCTCCGAAGACCCAGTGCCTTCCACCGCAGGGCTCTGCCGGGACGGTGGGCGGGGGGGCCGGGGCGGGGGTCGAAGCGCCCGTACGTGTGCAAAAAGGGGGGCTCCGGGCCGAAAATATGCCTTCGTAGCAAAAGAGGGGGAGGCAATAAATAGCATGTCAACTACGCTTTCCACACAAGCTCAGCTAAGTGACGTACGGTGAGGACCAGTGGCGAGCCATGTTTGTCCTTCGATACGGTGAAGACTTGGCAGGATTTCCTTGCTGCTCTCTACTTGATCCGGCTGCAGGTCAGTAGGAGCAGGAGGAGGAGACTCTGGGCATTCATCCATCCTTTCAAACGTGTCATGCGGTATGTGGAGGCCTCGTCTGCGAGGGACTTTTAATTAGACGGGCGGCGTTTCGTTTAATTTGGGCGGAGAAGTCTTCGGTACGGTGGACTTCGGATGCACACATCGGCCATGACTCCATGCTTCGTTAGTGAATCAGCAGGCTAATGGAAGTAATGGGACTGGGAAGAGTGGACCCCAGCGGGAGTTCCCTCCGACAAGCTTGAGATTCCCTCCGGGTCATATTAATAGCCAAACAAAGGCCGGAATGGAAGTTCCAAGTATGCCTATGTGTCGAGCATATCAGTTTTGTTGTCTGGCTAGAAACCTTGTGGCCTTCCTTTTGTCTAGTCCGAGCTGCATAGTCCGCAATTGTCCGACACTCGCTCTCCTCTCTCGCTCACTTCCCCACCAATTCACCATCTCTTCTGTCGATAACTTCCGTGGCCCACGTTGCACAGTGGCAGATTCACCGGGACACGGTGAAGCTTGCTTGGACAATTCTCTGAGACAAACAAGATCACACAGAGATGCTGATGAGCTCAGCTCAGTTCCGTGACGCTGAGTGAGTGAGTGAGTGAGTGAGAGGGAGAGAGAGATAGAAAGCGAGAGCGCGCGAGCGAACTCCAGATGAATCAGTTTCATGTACTTGCAAGAGTGGAACTCCGCACCGGGGCAGCCGTACAGTCACGAAAAGTGGACTTGCAAGTGACGATGGTGAGCTGTAGAACGAGGGCCTGACCACACGATGCTCTGCACATCGTATTGAATCCCCACAGTGCTCAACCGCCATCGCTCACTGTAGGATATGATTAGGGTTAGGGTTGAACGCAAGAAGTCGCGCTCTGAGTCCGTGCATCGAGTCACTGCTCTAACGTTTTCGACCCCTATCCGCTGAGAGCAGCAGCGTTGCAATTGTTGGATTGCTTTCTTGATCCGGGAACCGGCGGCCGAGTGGCAGCGCTTCCGAACCGGAGGTGCAAGTCGGTCGACTGCCCACAGTCGATCACTCCTGCTGCAACGGCATTGGCTCTGTAGGGAATGGGGAAACATGTCTGCTGATATGCAATAGTATACGGAAGGTACGAACGAGGGGATGGCGCGCGAATGCGCTGATTCCTGACATGCAGAAACTTGTTTCGAGCGGTAGCACATCGTTTCTCTTCTCCTCCTCGCACAGTGACAGTCTCTTGCCTCGCTCAAGGATCAGAAATAGATTCTGGAAGAAGTGCGATGTCGTTGAGTAGGTGAATTGTTGATATCTAATGCGTGGTGATGGTCCATAGGTGCTGCATGCCAGATTTGATCGCCCGCTGTCATCATCATCATCCTCCTCCTCCTCCCCAGTATTAGCATCCTCGTCTGTCTGCTCGAGGGTGAACAGCCTCTCGTGCCTCAGGCGAGCATAATGTTGCGGTATGTCCAGGTGGGGCAATTTCTGTCATCTGTGATTCCTGCATTATGGCTGCGGGCGTTCAGGAAAGTCCTCTGGGATGCGCACACGCATCCGCTGATCCCGCTGCTGGGATGCAACTTGCTCTTGATGATGAAGCTGGAGTACACGCTCCAGATGGTCGGTCCCGGCAAGCAACCCTTCGATGTCGGATTTCAGTACACAGCCACGTTCCATGATTACCTCAAGGAAAGGCCATTGCTGAACACTGTAACGGCTGCTCTGAATACGGTCCGTCTCGTATCTCTTTCTGGCCCGTCAATCTTTTCCCTTTCAGCTTCACATCCTCTCGGACCCCGCCCCTGCAATGCCCAGATTCTCTGCCCCGTGCAACTTTCCTCTCTCCATGTGCATGATCTTGTCCGCTAGGATGCTGGAGTCAGCCGTGCACATTTTAGATCGGAGGGCCTCTTCGTCTGTTCATCCTGTCGTCCAGCCATTCGGCCAGCCCGCCATTCGAGCTCGAGGGGCCGGGCCGCTCTTGAGAGATTCCGAGAGAAGAGGAAGAGAGGGAGTGAAAGAGAAGAGAGAGAGAGAGAGATAGAGAGAGAGAGAGAGAGAGAGAGAGAGAGAGAGAGACCGGAGACTGATATTATAAACAAATCCAGAGGCGTGAATCAGAAAATGCGGGAGATAAAGCTTAAGCTAATTGGAAACCTTGCCTGAGACCAATGAGAATGGCCAGAAAGATAACGAAATAACTGAAGTCTCGAGCGAAAGAAAGAAGAAAAGGTGGATGATGTCGTTGAGCAAGCGCGATCTCGTTTCCCTGCTGCTGCTGCTGCTGCCTAACACTTGGAACTCCAGCAGCCACTTGCAGTGCGCGAGATCGAGCAACTTTTCCTGCGCGTGCATGCTGCTGCTGCTCTTGTGACTAAAGATGTCGTGGCGTTTATTGGCAGCCAGGCTTTCGTGTTCTTCCAAGTCGTGTACGTCGCCTATGCCTGGATCGTCGAGGGCAGGAAAAGGGCCACTCTGGCGGCTCTCCTGCTGTACACCTGCCGAGGGCTAATGGGGTACTCTACGCAGCTACCGCTTCCTCAGGTCCGTTTCCGAATCCGCTCTTTGAGCACTTAATTGGCTCCTCCAGAATCATCATCATCATCATCAAAATCATCACACAGTAGTGGTTTTCTCGTTTGCACAACTAAAAAGTGTGGCCTCTCTGGGCCCACACCCTCGAGCTCTTTTAGAGTATGTGCCTTCCTGTTCTCTTCCTTTCGTTGGCAATCTGCCTCTGTCGTACGTCTGCTTACGATCGTGCTCGTCAAGCTCCATCGTAATGTATGCAATCTGCGTATCTGCTCGCTGTACACTAGATTGCGGGGAATTCATGTTTTTCCCCACTTTCATCAGCATCTTGTACTTGGGCCACGGTTATCGAGAATGGCCGTTTGGTAAGTACAAGAGGATGGTACTAGCTCTGCCCTGAGGGTCGCGATTCTCCCAATATAGTAGTACACATTCTAGCAACAACCGCTTCGAATAAGATAAGCCATGAGAGAACACGGAAACCGATTCGCAAGTACTACTGTCCAAGAAGATTCGACTGGACTCTGTCCTGGATACGGCCTTTCTCGTTGCGAAACCGCTCTGATGACGTCTGACATCTCGGCGACGCGAGGAGCAGGGACGATGGGCCTGCGCGAACAAGAAAAGCGAATTTCCGATTCCGCTGTACTGATTTGAGTTGAGCTGTGTTGGTGTTGGTGTTTGGTTGGGGCACAGGAGTTTCTGGGATCGGAGCTGGACTTTCCTGTCGGTAATGTCTCGTTTTTCCTCTTCTTTTCGGGCCACATCGGGGGCTCTGTAATAGCGTCCTTAGACCTGAGACGAGCGCAAAGACGGAGGCTCGGAGCCATCGTCGACTTCTTGAACCTGCTGCAGTGGTTCCGCTTACTGGCCACTCGGGGCCACTACACCATAGATTTGATCGTGGGAGCTGGAGCAGGCTGGGCCTGTGACCACTTGGCCGGCAAATATGAAGAGAGAAAAGCCAAGCTCGCCAAGTTAAAAGAATTCGGGCCAGACAATAGATTACAGGGCGTTCGGATGTGAGTGTAGGCAGGGCTGTCCAGTCCACCGGGATGAAAACCTCATGTACTTTTACTTCGCCGGTGACGGAGGGCTTTGAATTCGAAGATATCTCGACACCTTGTGCACGGTTTAAGTGTGGCCTCGAACGCGAAGACCACCATCGTCCTTTATGGCCCAAATGTGTACTTGATTTGAACCAGCTTAGGTGGTTGGCTAGCATGGACTTCTCGTTCAACATGTTGTCAATTTGATCGCGAGGCAGTTGACTGACTCTATCTACACTCGCAGCAGCAGCTACTGCGCTCTGGGAAGGCCAACTCGCTGCAGTCTCCAGGAAGAATATTCTACGCCGGGGCCCAAAGCAGACAACGATCTGTTCTTGAAGGCTTCCCGATTCTGGGGACGCAAGCGAGCCAAGGCTTCGCCCGGCGACAAACAAAACGACACCCGAAAGTGCAGCGCGAGTCGATTGGCCCGACAAGGCCAAATCGTACGCCCCGGTGCTGTAGCATTCTGAGCCGAAATCTATTTCGGCTCAGAATGCTACAGCTTGGTTCAGGCCGGCTTCGAAGGCCTGGTTGGCTGTAGCAGCAGGCTCTGTTGATTTTAGAAGGAAAAAGCATTCGTGATCGCAGTAGACGACTTCTCACTCGATTCAGCGGGCTCTCGTTCCGTATTTATCGCCAAAGTCGACAAACCTCCTCCTCCTCCTCCTCCTCCCCCTCCTCAGAGGGTCGAATCTTCACTGAGGTCATGTTGGAAACCGGGTGAGGTGTGAGTGTGAACCAAACCATCGGCCGGTGACGTCCACAAGAATGTTCCTACAGTTCACAGATTTCCAATCTCGGGGATTTTCAATGTGCGGGTCGAGTCTCCAGCTCCAGTTCACCACCCTGAGAGAGCTCTCGGAAGCACCGAGGGCTCGGGGAGTCTATCGACTCCTCGGCCAAATCGGCATCATCTAATGCGAACGTTCTACAATCGGACCATTTCATCAGTCGAGATTCTTCGACTGACTCTCTGCGGGCATCCCCAGGAGAAGAAGAACCCTCGTGATCTGGTATAAGTCCATCTGACAGTTTCTCCACAAATTTCCACAGCCACGTGAATAGCGGATCACTGTATGGTCGTCGATACAGAAGGTAGAAAGAAAGTGTGAAGACAAAAGGCTAAACAAAACTCGCCCTAGACCTTCGAGAAACAGCTGACCATCTCTTCATGCTCTGCGATTCGAACCCCGTGAGGTCGGCTTACATAGCTCAAGAATGTCAGCAAACCCTCAAGATGCCGACTTCGAGTTGTGGTAGGTCACGAGCTTTGATTGAAACTGCATTGATTTGCGAGAATGGTCTAACCCCGAGCACGAAGAGGACAATAGTTGGTCTCGATTTTCTACAAGTCCTCAACTGGCCCGAGGTGACGAATGAACGCATGGTACCGATGGCTATGAAGCTCGTTCTATCTGCATAATATCATGCTGACATAACGGACCTTATCTAGGTGAGAATTAAAAAAGGAAAACGAGCGGTTATTGCTACCGAGTGGTCCCTCTTGTACACGCTTATCTAAGTGATCTGCAGGACATTGTGAAGACTGACATTGCCACCATTATACAGTCACAATCTCCTAAAAGCTACAGGCTGATGCACGTTCTGCGGAGTCGCAGAAGAAGTCTCCAGACTGTGATCGTGAGATTTCTTTGTTGATTGGGCCCGCACGGCGCACGAACCTCGATTTCGCTGGCATCGGTACGTTTCTGGGCAGATCTCACTTGGGACAGGTCGGATTTTCAATTAATCCACTCACTGTCTACTATCACACCCCGCCTGTCATACAGACAAGCGGAGATAATGAGGAAGACATTTCCTCCCCTCAGTCTTTCTGTTTCTTTGCTTCTTTCGGTTTGAAAGCCCCTTCCCGTATACTGGAGCGAGTCATAGTTGCCAGTCCCTGCAGTACGTGAGTAGTAGTCCACGGTACAGCACTAGCCATGGGCTGCAAACAAGCAACGTTAGGTGACCCAGGCCCTGCCCTGCCTGCCCTGCCCTTGAAATCGGAACTGCAGCATTCGGTTTGGCACATAAGAACAAGCTTGATCTTGGCCTGAACTCGACTACGAGAAAGAAAGTGGCACCGTTTTTTCTTCTATAAAGTGAAGAAAGACTGGCCGGCCGTCGAGTGATTAACCGTCCATTAAACATGTGTAAAACGTTTTGTAGAAGTCCGATACTCCCGAAGTAGTCTCACCAAAGCTGTCCTCGACATCTGAGACTGGTGAGGTAGAAGTTCATATCCTCGAATAATATCTTCGCCAACACCACTTTCCCCTGCTGCAACTTACCCGACCGAGCGAGATTGCAACTACTACTACTACTACTGCTACTACTTCCACTTGATTCTACAATGACTTCCACTATGAGATTCGTTCAAGAAAAGAATCACGGCTCCATTCCACATACACGAGAAAACACGCTACGTTTGCCCATCACCATCACCGAGCAGCCGATGTTTGTTTCAATATGACGTCGATCTGGTGGCTAGATCTGCATAGTTTGCGATACTAATCAATCGCTAAAGAAGAACGTTTAAGAACCTTGATAGTAGTAGCTCAAGTCTTGTTGTTTTCGCCAAGGTTGCCACTGGTTATTCTGCAGTCGTACGAATTCGTATACTCTATGAAATGCTTTCCTTCATCAGGCTACATCAGGATCCACAATCAGTACTATGACAGAGACTTAAGCAGATGAGGCCCTCGATAAGTGATCCCTCTACGGCGTTGTTGATTTAAATACCATTGTCTAAGTAATAGGCCCCTCTTATGGTCAATGGTGTCTCTTCGGCTCATAATGTGTTCACAAACGCAGTGATTAGAGGACCCGGCTGATCCCCCGCTTTGAAGTTCAATATCTCCATCTCAGCTTAGAGCAGTCATGACGGCAAGAATCTCAATAATAGGTTCGATGAACAAAGTTGTGTCATGCTTTGATGAACTCTGGTCATTGCTGCCGTATTGGCTCCGAGCAAGTCGTTGAGATCTATTTATGCTTGCAATCTACGTATACAAACGAACATACATTCCTCCTGTGGAGTCTCCGCAGCAGGGCAAAAAGACGATGTGTACAGGGTATTCCTGAATGATCGTCTTATTCTCGACATTGTTGGCTTCGTTGAGATGATGCTCTCGCTGCAATACAAATTAATGATGGAAAGTTCGTACAGTCGCATTTGGTACATGCGAGTCCTCGCCATATCCGAACCTTTGAGCCTTTCTGTTATGTGAGCACCATGGCTGTACCGATAGATTCCCGGACTTCACAATTGTGCAGAGCAGCTTGGGTTCACCTGAAGAGGCAGAATATTTAAGGCGCCATAGCTAAACTTACTGTAAGCTCAGTACGACTATGACCAAACTGCCAGTTTCTCCTTCTTCTGAACGTGAGCGAGGCTTCGAATATATTCGGAGAAGAGCTGTGAAGATACACTTCCTGGCGTTTGCTGCCATGGAATGCAGATCATACGGTTGAGACCAGGTTCTGAGCCCCTGAGCGGGGGCGGGGCCTCTATCAAGACTTTTTCTAAGTGATATGCTTTAGAGCACTGACAATTCAGTTTTCGAAAAATCTGAACCCGGTTTTGAGACCTATAGTTCACTGACTTGGCTCCTATCTGTGTTTGGCGATCATAGGTTGTTCGAAGAGTCACATAGGCACTCCCTTTAAGATCTCGATACCTCTCGAGTGCCCACTTTTCGCGAACCAGGGCTTTTGTGTCGCCACTTGTCCGCGTAAAATATGCGGTGGGTCACCCAACGAGCTCGTTCAACGAAGTCACTAACGAACGCACTTCGATGGTTCTAAATCGAGAATTGCGCAGGAGGGGGCGCTTGTACGCACGAATACAAGCTGTTTGGGTGCTTCAACCCGACGCTCTTCCAAAAGCTCCGTGCTGGTAAGAATGAGCGAGCGAGCGGGCGAGCGAGCGAGTAGGTGGGTGGGCCACGAGTGCGTGAGATGAAACCGACTCAACTGATCAGGTAGCCCACCTCAACTCCCGCCCGGATCTTCCACCCTCTCTTGCTCACATTCAGTTGTGATGAACCTCCGGTGTGGCCACGAACAGAGACTCTCCCCATCATTCATTTGTCCCCCCCCCCATGTCACTGACGCAATGTCCTCTTGCGAGGACCTCGATCCGATCAGTGTCTAGGAAATCGGACGAGTTCTGTAGCCTCGCGCACAAGCGCGCGCTCTGAGCTCAATCTTGGACCACGGCATCCACCGATCTTAGTGCATTGTACTGCACAAGTTCACAGGCTGCTGCCTCATACTGTATTCATGAACCTCCTTCCCCGGGCAGTCCCTCGGTCTTGGGGGAATCCTCGGGCAGCTGTGCAGAGTTCTCATCACCGCACGCCACATCAGGCAGGCAGCACGCCCCATTCGACTGTGTCAAAATTCTCATACGTGACGAGGGTTTGGACTCAGAATACGTACGTGGATAAGGGAATTCCAAACGTTTAGGTGAGCACCCTATGACAGAAAGAAGAGGTATTTCAACAGGAAGGCCAGAATGTTTTTTGTTAAATTGAGTAAAAGTGGATAGCGGATGCTAGTGTCGGAATTTGGATAACAACCCATTTACAGAGTGATCTGCTTCTCTACACTCGGTGCGGACACTGAAATCGAGTTTCATGCTGAACATCACGAGCACGGAAAGCTAGAAGAGCAGCTGCACACTGGAGAGGGCGAATGGCGGTGACCGACTGTTTCTCGACGCAGCTCATTTCACATACACCGACCGATCAGACTCAAGCCCCAGACACACACGCGAACGAAAACATTGCCCAGAAAAAAATTGAACTCGAATTGCAGAATGACGACGGCATTGCTTCCGATATAAATTACACACTCGAAACAAACGAAGGTAATTCACCCTCGTAAAATTGGTTCCAAGTACTATACAAACGACCTACACTGATTCTCAGAACCTGAGGGGCTTCCTCGGCACCACGTACGAGTAAGCTTCATAATTGATGGTTTGCCCGAGGACACTGAGCTTGGTGAAGCTCGTGATGAGATCTACTTCGTAATCAGTCTGGGACACGGTCTCGCGGCTGATCTGATACTTCTTCACCCACGGGGTGAAGTCGGGATCGGCCACGAGCTTGGCCTCGATGTCAGCCTGGTTCGGCCCCAGAAACGCAGACAGCACGGCGATCTGCCGAGGCTTGATTCCCAATTGGGCGAACCGGTCCTTGATCTCTTGAGCGGAGGCGTCCTGCCACAGGAGAACGCGACCGCTGGGATCGGCCTCGGAAGCGGACGACCGGCCGAGCAGCTTGTCGAATTGACCCCACTGCCCGCTGGATCCGTAGGCCTGGTACAGCTGCAGGCCCTTGTCCTCCTTGCCGCCGCACTTGCGGATGGCAGCGTCGATAAAGGTGCGCTTGGTGGCGGACTGCGCCCCGAGCTGGATCAGATCGGCCCACGAGATCGGGCCCCCTTTGGACGCGGCGTCGATGTCCTTCTTCACGCCGGCCAGCAGCGCCACGGCGGCCTCGAGCCCGCGGTTCTCAGGCCGCTCCAGCTCGAAGAGAATGGATCCATTGGATCCGCCGGTTTTGGTCTCCTTGTCGAAGGTCAGCGCGTCGTTCAGCGCCAGGCGCATGAGGTCCGGCACCAGCGCCTGGTTGTCCTTGACCGCCACGCGCAGCTTCTCCTTGACGGACGCCAGGAACTCGCCCCTCTGGAACCTCTGCGTCAGATCCGCCGCATCGGCATTCGCCGGCAGCAATGCGCTCGCTCCCAGCGCCAAGCCTAGCGCCAGCGCCTCCCTCCTGTCCACACCCGCCGCAGCCTTGCGCTCCCGCTCTTGCTCGTGCCCATCGTTTTGGGCGCGGACGCCCACGACCCTCCTGGCGCTCGTGCGAGCCCCACGAACTCCTGCTCCGGCGCTCGAAGCCGGAAGCGGCACGGGGCAGCCCAGAGAGGGCAATGCTGCACAGCTGTGGACCTTACTGCACAACGCCATTTCTCCTCACTTGGGCGGGGTGCTGCTGCAGCTCCTCGTCGTCCTCGCTTCCGAGCAGAGGAGGCTGTCGTCGATGGCTCGAGTGCTGAATGCGCACGGCACCGAGCGTCGAGGAGGCGAGGGTGGGCGGGTGGGGCTCGGCGGAGGGCCGGCCAGATCCTCCACACCACGCGGCGCGAGGACGGAGCCCGCAGCTGATGTTATCCTTGCGGAGAAGATGATGCTCTGTTGGATCACCTTTTGCCCTTCGACGGGAGCCCATTGTCCCAGACAGAGGTGCGGGCATGGCTTGCAGGGGATAAGGTTCCGAATCTGTCAATACCACAAACGGAGATTTGACCGCTAGGTACGTGTACTCTGTTCTAGCTGCTCATGAGTTCACTCCGCCACTTCTATCGTTGTCGAGCACGCTCGGTCGCCTTGCGTATGATTTCGTCTCCTCTCGCCCCAGAAGTCGATGCACCTCTCTACATGCTGTAATTCTGATCTCGTTTCCTTATTTTCTGCCAGAATCTCAGGGCGGCCCAATCACCAATCGAAAACGTTGGATTCGGGTTCAACTCCGATTTATCCTCCTCTGTGCACTATGTGGGCTTTGGCACTCTATGCGAGGAAATCTAATGCTCGAATAGGAAATTTTCTCACTTTTGCAAACCACTCTCGTCACAATTGTTTACTTTTGACCTCTCGCGCTTTTCTCTCCCAATGAGCTGTGCGGCCTTGGTCCTTTGTTTGGTTGAGCAATCGTTTGGACTGCACGAAAGTCAAGATGTAGTTAGGGCTCCAACTCTGATCATGATGTGCTCGGAAATGTAGGATTACACTAGTACAATAGCAAAAAGATGTGAAGATACCCAACAGGTTGACCGTAGTTGAAACCACACGGTTAGGACGGGCTAGGGCCAGTGAGCATAAGAATGGAACGTATGTATATATATATCTAAGGTTAACATAAATATATGTTCAAATAAGTTACACCACATACTAACTCGAGTGGTACCTCCTGCTTACCACTATGGTAGGTTCTTACACTCTTACTCATGAAAATCCAAATGATCTGCATATATTTTCAATTAAGTCCATGACAAAACACTAAAAGTATGTAAATTCATGCCATGCCTAGTGACCAAAACATTTAACTTTTACCGGTATAGTATGTGTAAAGATAATGATCTCGTCCATTGCCTACACAATTCAATAATGCATATTGAGCCAAGTACTCCGGGCATTATTGACAAAAATGTGTGTATTCATTTTATTTTCTCGTCAAACGTCTTGTCAACTTTTTTGTTATATGATGTCATCAAAGACATCCATATCAAAGGCTACATGTGATAGATGTAGAAGTGAAATTTCAAATTGTTCAAGGTAGGTAACAGGATCTAAGAACTGTAAGAAATGATTAAGCTCACGGTCAACATTAATCTAGTGAAGATTTTATGAATTGCCAATGTTCTGTTATTAGCTTGAGACATATTATTAAAAAGTTATTGGTTACCCTAAAAATGTGTATACACCATCTCAATGTATTACGTTCATATGAGTATGAATATCTCAACAAAAGATATGCTAATACCTTGTAATGATTTCAAGAGTATCGGACATTAGTTTGAGTAGCAATGAGTGTTTGAAGAGTGACTCATAAAAACAGTAGCATATATTTATCCCCCTCATCTATGTTTAGGTGATGAATATGCTCACGCAAAAATTTGTTGACAAGAGGATCAAATTCCTTATAGATGAAAATTCAAATATTTGATAAATTATATATTTGCATTGATTTTAAATCAGATTTATTACTAGGATGAGATATTTCTTGATATTTACTAAAATATCTGATTCAAAAGTCTTTGAGTGAAAATCTAGATCAAAAGTGCTTAACATGAAAATATGTGATGAAATTATGCAACAAAAACATAAGCAAAATAATCTATATATGTTTCAGGGCATTATCATGTGTGATGAAGTCAACTTTGTTAAATCTTGAGTTAAGATGTCTCATGTTTGATGTTCAAATAAGTGTCATGTGTGTTTGACATGACACTTTGTTGTGTTTAGAGTTTGTTATCGGTCATGGGTATAGTTGACTAAGTCATGCTGACTCTCACTCACTTTTTTAGTAGTACATCATGATTCTAGAATACTAGAATTCTTCAATTTGCTCGTAATTCAAATATTTCTCGATTTGTGCGTGTCATCCTTGCGCAGGGGCCATGCTAATCTTCTCTGTATCGTTCCAATTTTATCGGATGTCCTCGAAGGGACAAATATACTCTACACACACTCTCTATTCATAATTCAATTACAAACACTCATAGATACCCCAAAAGAGATTGTGTAACTCAAACCTAAATTGATGAAACAAATTCTCACACAATAGATTATCCAAACTTGCTTCATAATCTATTTGAACTATGTGAAAAACTACCATAGCTACACATGATAATTATCATCAAACTTATTTTTACTACAATAATCCTAGGTATATATGACTAATTTTCAATATGTTGTAACATATCATCAAAGTATCTAAATCTTCTAGAAGCTTGCTTATATCTTGGTTGAGGTGATGACATGTCATTTGACATCTTCAAAATTCTAGAACTTTCCCTTGCCACTAAATCAAATTTAGACTAAGTTTCTTTAAAAAAATCTGTTACTTAATGAGACTAATGAGAATCAACATGTAGTCAAAATCTTCTTTCCTTATAATCTAAACTTTGGTAAAAGACAAAATAGTAGTGCTCATTCAAGTGTTATATAACTATTTTAATTATTATGCCAAGTATATACATCATAATTTGATAAACTTAATCATAAATAGTTAAATTTGATTACAACTAAAATAAACATAATCAATTTATTAGTTAATTTTACTATTTTTTCATATATACAACAATGAATCCATTAGTTTATAATGATGTGTGTAGAAACTCTCTAAACGCTTCATGAGATTTTAACAATGTTTTTAATTGAGATTTTAATTATGATTACTTCAGATTTGTCGATATACCTTTTCACACATATAAATCCAAAATCTTTACAACTTATAAAAGTTGAAACTCAGATTTTACAATCAATCTTTTGATACAATTTGAATTGACTCACAAACAGATGATTGATAATATTCCTTTTAGAATTTTTTGTTGTACAACTTATACTCTAACACACAATGAGATTAAAACCAAGTTGGATGCTACATGCAAAAATCATACTATTCTTGATAATTGCTAATGATGTGACGGATTATAAGCTATGGAACCCAATTTTCTATTAAAAAATTGTTCATAAGGATGATTTTTTAATTAAACGCAAATAATTGAAAGAGTACGAGAGTTTTTTAATTTTTTGTATTAACAAGTAAAAATCTCCACATGTGAATATTGTTGGACATTGATCATTATGTGACACAAGGAAATGTTCAGGTCTATATGAAGCAAATTCATGAAAAGTATGGATTGAAGTAGCATGTTATTGTTTGTGAGCATCAAATATCTCCATAGATGAGTTTAAGGAAAGATACAATGTCTATCAGGATATTTTCAAATTGGATCAATGTAATTTTTGTAATATGATTTATGACCTGATTTATCTATTTTTGAAGATTGTGATATTAATTTTAAAGATGATGATTGCACAATGTTGATATTGGAAAAAAAAAATCTTGTATTTGGAAGCTTATTAAACAGCTTGTCAATAAGTTTAATTGGAATGCTCCTATGAAATGAGATATGGAAGTGTTGATGAAAAAAAAATGTTGGGAGCTAGTGAAGTATCTAAGCAATCAAAATTTGTTCACTGCAAATATTTACAACCTAAATAACAATTCAACAAATTATATAAGAGGAATCATCAAAACCAAATTTTTGACCAAAGTATTTATATAATAGAAAAGTGTGAATTATAACAAGATGGAGCATTATTGTCTATAGAGAAACTCACTCAAAGATAAAAACTTATATTCAAAAGATGAAAGATTCCAACAATAATTGTACTATACCTTAACTAGATCTTATCAATAAGTACCAAGGAGATAAGAACTCATTTCCATCATCAATTTCATTATTAAGTGATGTATGATATGGTGAATATTCCTAACATGCACACGTATTGCTAACGTAACGCTTCTAATTAACATATAATTAACATAACAAATATACGGATTGGTGATGTGGCGTTGTTAACTCACAAATCTACTCTCTTTATAGCAAGCACAAGAATCGTTGACGTGAAAACTATGAATAATGCACTTTAATGTAACTACAACTCTTGAGTAACTTTTATTTTAGTTCTAACTAACTAAATATGGTTACACAAAGTATTTGTACCCGTACCAAAATATGCGACAAATTGACTGGTATGTGCATTTGTTACAATATTTGATCTGCTTATAATATATATGATTGTAGTTACAACATTGTTTTATGGATTTTTGGATAAAAAAATTTATAGAAAACAACTATTTGGCTTTGAGAATACAATTCAAAGGAATTTGAATTGTAGATTGTACTATGTGGTCCGAAGCAAACTCTTATGTAATGAAGCTTGAGGGTTGATGAGTTCATAAACACAAATTTTTTCACGAAGCGTGAATGATCCATATGTATACATGAAAAAGTTTAAAATGAAATTTTCAATCTTATTATTTTAATTGTCTATGTATGACATGCTCATCTTGACTAAAATTCAGTCCGACGTCAAAAGATATTTTGCATTTAAGATAAAAATATGTTGCAAATTAAATTTCATAACTGAAATTAAATAAAAAGTGATAAAAATATAAATATAAATTTTGTGGTTTGAGTTATTTTCAAAATTTATTATAAATTTAAACTAATATAAAATTTCCAATTTTTTTTTTTCAAGCAATAAATTTTCTATATAAATTATGTTAGACTTTGTATCAATATAAACATCATGTATTGTGATGTTTGATATTTATTGAAGTATGATTTGTTGTGATATAATATTTTTTTAATTTTTATTAAATTTTAATATTAAATAGTTGATAATTTAGTATAGTTTACTATTCACAAAGAAATAATTTTAAATATTTTTTTCGAAATTAATAAATGAAATTAAATTTTTATAAATGAATTCATAATCTCCTGATTTCAATTTCATCACTCAAGTACATTCAATCTAAAAAATTTTAAAAAAGGAAAATTTTGTTGATAATAATCTTCACAATAGTGTAGCTTTTTTTTCCATTGAATAGAAATCAATTTTGAAATGTCATGATCAAAATGAAATTTGATTTTTTTTATACTTTACCTTTACATCTATCAAGCCATCAACACAATTATATAATATAATTTTGTTCATTGCATGTGGCTTGATATGCTTTTTTAATCAATTTAAATTTAATTATGAATTTAATCAATAATAATCATAAAATTAATTAACTTTCATTTGATTTTCTGCTTATCTTATTGATGACCTAGATCAAACTCATAATACAACTTATTTTTCAATTTTCCAATTCAAATGTTGTAATTTTTGTTCAAAATATAATTCAAAAAAAAATTTCAGATATGATCATAAAATCAATACAATTTCAAATTCAAGGCATCAGATTTTTATTGATAAAATATGAATTGAGAATTTTATTTTTCAATAAAATTTGGTGTCACAAAGTTGATTTTAGATTTAAACCATCATAAAAAAAATTCATGATATAAATTAATTAAAATAATATAAGGTATGTGATGCATAGTTTCTTGTACAATTTTTTACTTTTGAAATATAAGATCAAAAGGTTTTTTTGTAAAAAAATTTGTAATTATAATTATTGACTTTTAATTATCAACAGTTTGATGTAAAGAAACCATTTTATCAAAATTTGTTACAATCCATTAAAAATAAAATATAAATACAAAACATCACTTGCATCACATTGGAAAAAATGTAATATTGCATTTAAGATATATCAAATATTTTGAAGTTGAGAATTTTACATATAAATTAATAAACATCTTACAAAAATTATACTATCAAAATCATCAATCAAGTAAGTTTTTGTTGTTTCATGTAAAATATTGTATGGTGGAATATTACAAAGACTGAATGTTAGAACCGTGACTTTAAAAATATGTTTTTTTATGAAATAACATAATAAATAATGAATAATTGAAAGATACTTTATACTATGAAAGATTTTTTATATCATCTATGAAATTCATAAGTAAATATATCTTAAATTGATTTAAAATATCATTTATGATATATATTTCATTACAAAACATTCATAAGTATTTGAAAATACTTACTAAAAAATTTATAGTTTTATAAAAAAATAAGAATTATGTTATCTATTTATGATTTAATTATTTTAAAATATTTAATTTATTCAAAAATATTATAGTTTCAAAATACTGATTTCTTCTAAATAGGTAACTGAAATTTTTGTATTTTTTAACAAAACGTAACGTTCAAAATAATGATTGAAAATACAAATGAATTTATTATTCATGAAGGAAAGAAATTAAAATTAAATCAATATTATTCTTTAAAATACCAAGTACTGCTTTTTAACGTCCTGACATTTAAATCACACCTAAAATTATTAAAAAATAAATAAATAATTTCATCTTCAAACTAAATTTCTAATAATTATATCGAATCATGTTATAATTTTAGTAGGTTTGTAATCAGATATTGAAATTTATTTTATAATTATCATTTTAAATATTATGGATTATAAATTTCTTATATCTAAACTTTATATGTCATATTATTTAAAAAAATGATGAATCTTTTATTGTCTTTGTACAAACATACACGATATAATGTTTAATAGATTTATTTTTTTAATTGAAATTCTTCAACCAGCATATCAGTTTTCATGAGATAACATTGTGGTAAATAATTATATTATTTGTATAAAATAAACATACAAATACATTTCAATGAAAGTTTTACATATACTTGAAATTTATCTCAAAAGTAACTTCTACATTGAAATTTACATACAACAAATTTTGAATTTAGAAAATTTTGTAATATGATTTGGAAAATAAATACTTATTATTTCTCTGCAATTTTATAACATAAATTATTAATCTAAATTTTCTTGGAAAAATCTATTGCACGATTGAAGTTGATCTGTATTATACATGTTTATTGATGAAAAATTGTACAAAGATGATTAATTACATAAATCATATATTCCTGTTGACAAAAAATAAAATTAATTCATAATTTTGAAAAAAATTCAGATATTGTACCGACATGCATCTTAAATGATTCCTTGATTGTAAATTTTTTATACAATAAACTATATGATTCAGTATTCCATGTATGTGTCTTGTTTTCTTTAAGTTGATAAACCATTATTTGATTATGTATTATCACAATGATAATTCATTTCGGAAAATATAATATCAGTTTTGAATCCATGAGGTTGATTTGATTTTTATTTGAATTTATATAATTAATTTTTACGTTACAATCATGTTGTTGTTGGATATTGTCACAAAATGTTAATGTTATGATGATTCTTTCTTTTGATTTTTTTTTTGTGGTAAAACAAACAATATCAATAATTCATTCAAGGGTTTCAGATATCAAATAATTATTAGAGATTAGACTAATGATTTATGTTGACAAAATAACCTTGGGGGAAAAAAAGTAAGATGATCCATGATATTAAAATGTAACATTTTTCTATTATGAAAAATGCATCTAAAGTTCTTAAATAATTTTGTAAATATATCAAAAAATTGCGTATTATCATCTTCTTAAGAATTTTATATGATATATAACTTACATAAAAGTTTATTTATTTCATTGTAATTATCATTTTTTAAAATCCTTGTATATCTTGATTTGAAAAAACTAATATGGTAAATTAAAAATCCATTTTTTATCTTAAAAAAATTATTTAATTAATCTTTGATTTGTGTTTATTAAAAAAACCATGCGTGAGACGTATCACTTTGAGAACCAGAAGTTTACCATTCAAATACACAGCATACCTTCTCTCCTGCATCCCAGACCTGCAGTTCTGCGGTCTGGAATGACTTGCTGCGTACTCAGTGAAAACGAGAAGTTCGGATGACTAATCAGACGTAGCGGTAGCTCTTACACGTACATATACTATATTCCTGCGTAGATGGTGTTGCCGGTGACTCAAACCGGCGATAGCAGGCGCCTACAGTGTTTAGTATAACCATTGTATACGGCACGCATATAGCTCGCAACCTTTAAGCTGTGTTGTCTGGTTAGGGTGAGTGCAGTGTTGAGCAAGAAATAGAAGGCAGCATTCTGTCAGTGAGAGAAGACGAGAGAACGAGGCGAGGGAAGGAGATTCGAGATTGAGGACGAAGTTTGGTGCAGCGACAAAATCAAATTTGTGAGCCCAATATAGGGTTCGTGCATTTCCTGGTTTAGACAGTTGGATCGGCTTGGTCGTGCAGAGACAGAAGGTGGAAGATGGCGATGATGATGCCGCCTCGTATGAATCCATCAGATTCTGCTAGTGGACCGAAACAACACCAGTCCTGGAGCCCATACGACAACAACGGAGGGTGTGATTCCAAGGCCATCTTATCAAGCCCGTTTCCTGCAGCTGCATGCTCAATGTCACCGAGGGTCGTATTGCTCGTATAAGTGACTTGGATTTTCGTTTACCTTTTTCTGTGTGCCAGAACTTGCGTCGCCATCGCGGGATCAGACTACTGCGTCCTTGCCGCAGACACGAGAATGTCGACGGGCTTTTCTATTCTAACTCGTGACTACTCCAAAATTTTTCAAATGTGGAGTACCAACTGAACTAGCTTCGATTTTTGTGCTTTTAGTCGTCAAAGGCTTAAAAGTTATCAAGAAAAAAAGTTCAAGTTCTTTGTTTCTCATCATTCGTAAGATTCCCGAGAAATTGTACATTTAGCGCTGTTTTCAAGAGAAACTTACTTGGCCTATGGTGCGGTTGTACATGCAGATCTGACCAATGCGCTTTGGCATCATCGGGTTTTCAAGCCGACATCAGAGCTCTTCAGAAGAATCTAGATGCACGACATCAGGTTCGTTTTTGATTTTCATATGAGCCGGGGAATTGGTGTCATTTATACGCAATGCTAGGTTTCTGTATATATTTTTAGTGGTTTTGAGCAATTGCCTCTCTTTTCTTGCCTGAATAACAACAGTTAGGATGGAAAAAAGCACACTCTAAAGACTAAATCAATGCTTATGTCCTTTCGCAGACTTATCAACATCAGCACAACAAGCAGATGAGTTGTCCAGCAATGGCTCAACTGCTCTCAAACACACTTTACTACAAGCGTTTCTTTCCATACTATGCCTTTAATGTGCTTGGTGGTTTAGATGATCAAGGTGCTTTTGGAAACAGTGTTTTCATCTTTTTGAATTTGCTAAATTATGTTGTAGGTTATTAAGGAAGAAGCAGTCCTGAATGTTGAATGTTGTTGGAGCCTAAGAAGAAAGAAGCAGCGCTGATATGGAACTGTTTCACTTACAGGAAAAGGATGTGTTTACTCGTACGATGCCGTCGGTTCATACGAACGCGTAGGCTATGCAGCCCAGGGTTCAGGCATGCAGCTCATTATCCCGGTTCTTGACAACCAACTCAAATCTGCAAGCCCTCTTGTTCTTCCCAAACGAGTAAGTTTGGCTGCTACATTATTCAAATTGGATTTACAAACGGTTTTTGCTGTGGGTCTCTTGGTTTCCGTCGACAAGATTGAACTTGCATGAGGATGGCAATGTCCATTTCACGAAAGTCTTGACTCATAATTTTTGTGCAAGTGATTGACTTCTCGTATGATTGTTACACAACCAGGAATCTGCTACCCCGTTGTCCGAGAGTGAGGCAGTTGACTTGGTGAAGGATACCTTTGCATCTGCGGCCGAGCGAGATATTTATACGGTATGAATTGAAGCGCCGTATGCGGTTGTTTTCCATATTAGCTCAAGCTATTGTTGATGTTTGCTTTTTGTACTTGTTCTTTAGGGTGAAATGTCATGCTTTTATTTGTACATGGACTTTATGGGTGGTCATTATGGCTGGTAGATGCTTATTGCTAGGGTGAAAGGCAGACCACAATTATGCTCTGTCTGTCTAAGTTGTTTGGGCAACGAACGTTTTTAGACGGGTTGTTGAGTCCTGACGGTTAGCTCCAGTGTCTTCGTAAAACACACTAATGCAACTCATATGGCTCCAGGGTGATGGTGTCGAGATCATTGTTATAAATGCTCAAGGAGTTCAAAAGCACTACATGGAGCTGAAGAAGGATTAAGTTACTATCTGCACCAAAGGCCACAGTTTTTGAAGTACGGAGTCAATGGTCGCCTGAACTGAAGCTTATTTGCGCGAGCCTCATCTGGGTTAAGCTTGTTGTTTAGAGCCTCAGATGTTGTTGGGGAAAGCTTATGAAAAGGCCCAACATAACTACTTATGACGTGATAAGCAAAAGCAAAGCATTACGGGAGATTCGAGCTACTGTTGATGTTCTCTGTTCATATAGAGATCCAAGTTCATTCATGGATCCGGACCTCTACTTCTACCACGGGGGCGTCATAAAGTCACGTGTAGAGCAGCAAGACCTTGATCTCAGCAGTTCTTGGTCTTGAACATATATCCGGTATAATCGATGATCTAGACCACACTTACTTCAGTCTGCGAGGGAATTTTGTGCTATATTCTTGTATATCCTGACCTTGTGTTTCTCCGATGAGAAGAACGGATGTCGTTTGTGGTAAAGAAAAGAGATGTGCATGTTCATGTCACTGGACAGAACAGTGGCATTTAGCGTCTTTCCTCTTTGCCTGAGAGAACTTGTGGTCCGGAGAAAGGACAAGCCTTTTCGAATGATATCACATAAACCCGCAATCGTGCTTCATTGGTTTATACGTCAGTTATGCCCAATTTTTATGTTTGTTTTTCTGGAGCTCTTGTTCTCGCCGTTCCTTATCGCAACGGCGATGGTAACGAAAATGTACTGGACGACTTGTCTACTCGGCGTGGACAGCGAGACCAGGACAGGACATAATAGCTACTACAACAATTTGCGTGCTTTCGGTCATTGATTCCGTCCAAGAGATCAGCATAACCTCACAGAACCATACTGCCACCGGCCATCACAAGGAATCTAGCCACACCTAACTTACTACTGAAGTAGTGACGGGTACAACAATCGTGAACCACTAATTACTTATGTAGAGGTTTCTTCTACGATTCTGGCGGTGTCCGATAGGATGCGAAGACAGTCCTCAACACCGCTAGTCGTCTTGTCATTCTCGCTCGTCTCAATCACCGATAGTTGCTCCCTTCATCACCAGACATCTCGTGTACACGGCTTGCGAGCTCCAAACTCTATTCCTCTCTGTGACCTCATTCGGAGGCAGGTCGAGAAATCCTACTCCGGCACACGGGAGCTGGAAGAAAAACGCATAGGATGCCAAGTAAGAAGGCACGGGCACTTGACGTTACACGCACAGATAACACACGAACACTCGAGAAGACGCCCTTAACTTGTACCGGAGGTGGCGTCCGGGACAAGAAGGAAGATTCCGTCCGTAAAGGCAGCCAGAACCGTGTCCGAAGAGATTGCGTCACTGCATCGAGCCGAAGATGGTTCTTATAGGGAGAGCGGCCATCGAGGAGCAAAGCGCCCGGGAACCAGGCCACGCAGGACTCCGAGTGAGAGTGAAGGTGGAGGAGTGAGCAGAGGAAGTAAGGAAGACGAGGCGAAGGACGCGAAGGCAGAGAGAGAGAGAGAGAGAGAGATAGGGAGAGAGGGAGACGTGTTCGTCGGGGCAGGCGGAGCGGAGTGAATTTGGAACTCCGCGAGTGGAAAATAGTGCGCACCATGGCAGCAGCTATGGCGACCACGAAGATTCTCACGGGAGCGGTGTGCAGCAGCTCGTCTCTAGTTTCGGGCGATGTTCTTGGAAGTTCGTCGTGCTCGTCGCAATTCGCCGGCGGGCACCTGTTGAGGTTGCACACGAGGAGTACGTTTAAGAGCGTAGGGAAGTTGGGGGTTCAGAGTCGGTTGCAGAGGGATTCGGTGGTGAATGCCTCCTCGTCTTTGGGTTTTGGAGATGGTTTGATTGGTGCTTTTGGTGGTCCTCTGGGAGGCGCCATGGCCACGCAGGCCCCCGCCATGGCTTCGAGATCTGCCGAGGCCGATGTGATGGGTTTGCTCTTGCGACAACGGATTGTTTTCCTCGGTCATCAGATGGATGATTTTGTCGCCGACTCTATCGTCAGCCAGCTTCTTTTGTTGGACGCTGTCGATCCCACCAAGGACATTCGGCTCTTCGTCAATTGCCCCGGTGGTTCTATTAGGTATTGCCCTCAAAGCCTAAGCCATGAATGTGAATATCATACGGTCGTTAGGTAAATTCAGGTTTTTTACGTTCGGGGTGCACGCGTTGTCCCTACATGGTTTTTCCGTTGTTACGCTTTTCTCTTCTCTCAATTTTTCTTCAGTGTTCTGTCTACGCTTGTCTGGTAGAAATTATTTCGAGTTTCGCGCAGTGCTGGTACGCGTGACAGGTTCTGCGTCGAATTTTGTATCTCTAACTTTCTTTCAAATTTTTTTTCCATTGTAAGGCTTTGACATGTTTTATACGCGAACTGTAAGGCTCGTCTGTTCGTTTGGATCCTAGGATTAAATTCTCATCCTGGTGTCATTTTCTGAGCCTTATTCGTAATGAAAAGTTCATCTCGTCCGAGGCATTGACAAGCGAGTGTGCCGTTTGGACTCTGTCAATCGTGCTACCAATGTTTAAGTTCGGATTCTTAGTCGGGTACAAACCTTACAGTCTGAAAGCGCGTGTTCAGTGTCGATAGATTTTTTTCGTATCTTTTAGATTGAAGGGTTTGAGTTGTACAGGTAGTTATTATACATAAGAGCCCCAGTCTTTAACACTCTTGGATTATATGTGGAATTTTTCATAGACCTTCGCAATCAGCTGAACTGAGAATGTCCGTCTTGCAGTGCCGCCATGGCCATCTACGATTCTATTCAGCTGTGCAGGGCGAATGTCTCAACTATTGTCTTTGGTCTCGCTGCGTCGACAGCAGCTATCGTGGTCGCGGGGGGCTCCAAGGGTAAGCGGTTTGCCATGCCGAATGCACGTATCATGATGCATCAACCATTGGGAGGTGCCAGCGGCCAGGCTATAGATGTAGAAATCCAAGCTAAAGAAATTATGTACCACAAGACCAACGTCACGCGGATCATATCTGAGATCACAGGAAGGTCGACGGAACAGGTCGCGAAAGACATAGACAGAGACAGGTACATGTCTCCAGTTGAGGCGATGGAGTACGGCTTATTAGACGGCGTTATTGATCAAGATACGATTATGCCTTTGGCTCCTAACGTTGAGAGGGTGAAGAGTAGGTCGGAGAATCTCGCTGCCATGGAAGATCCCCTGAAGTTCTTAAACCCCGAGATATCTGACGATGAGATTTACTAAAGAGGACGTTGTACATTTTTAACATTCTAGTGGAAGTCTTGTAAACAAGATACGTTAAAAGAAAATTTTGAATTTTGCACATTCACAGAAATCTCTCGACAACATCTTGTCGCCTGTGCTTACCGGCGGGAATCAGGTCTCAACTTCACATCCGTCCATTACTAGCTTACTATTTGTAAGCTAGTAAATGTGAGTCCAAGTGCTGGTTCGTGGTTCAGTTACTGATGCGTAAATAAGTATATTCCTTCCTTGACCCACTATATGTGAGTTACTTTAAGTTCATGTAAGGTTGCATGGTTTCAACGTCGTATCTGGGTATTCGATTGATGGCAAATGAAAGGAACTGAAATGAACTTCATCCGTTGTGACGGACTGAGTAGAGGAGCAGTTAGAAGAGTACTCATGTGTCAGACGTGCGGATTGATACAAACTTCTCTTTTCAAATAGGAGAAGCTTAATTATAGAATTTTGGCCCCTGGGTCATCCAAACCTGAATGCAGTTTTGAAGATGTCTACATGCCATTTCCTTTGCTTGCTTCTGAGTTGTTCCTGGGCTTCTATTTCTAGTCTTAGTGACTACATTATTATCCGGCCGGCCTGAATCTCATCATCTTTATTGTTTATTACTTTGATGGGTACCTCTGGTTTTGTCCCGTATGTTGGTGTTAATGTTCTTCACATCTTCTCTGCAGATCACGTGCATGTTCTTCACAGCTTTGCTGCAGGTCAACAGCATCTTTGTGTGTATTACGCTTCAGTATAAAACACAGAATGACAGCTTTTATTCCAGATCCATATAAACAGCTGTGTTTTATCATATTTCCCATGCCCAAAGGTATATGGAATACAATGTTAACAAGCACGTGCCATGTTCGAAGACGCGATACTGGTGCTTGGCTACACCAAAAAACACACGAATAATGTGCTAGACTGTCGCTTGTCACAACTACACCTTCCTGCAGCCGTGAGACCTGAAACATCTCATATGTTTCATGTAACTTATGCTTGCTATCATATGTTTGCCACGAATTCTAGTTTCAGGTCTGCTCATCAGAGTTGTATACTGAATTTGGCTAAGAAACAGTAAGTATCAGCCGAACACTTCGCATTGTTTCAGAATGACAGTTGTCACCTGATGTACGAAGAGTTTCAGTAACCTATCACTACTCAAACCTGAGGCGGCTTTTCTTCACCAAACCACCTTGGAGGATCGAAACCTGACGAACCTGCCATTTCAAACCAACTCCAAGTTAGTGGTAACAACAGACACCCCTAGGTCAATGTTGTCAGATGCTACGTAACACGGACTGGTGTTTGATTCACGGACGCGAACATAGAATGTGCATATATTCAGACTTTCGAAAATACTCAAAACGTAGAGTCGAACCTTCGAATTGCGAAATACAAGCCCGTATTGCAGCAGTTGCAAATGTATTTTCCGCACAGGGTGCAATTGATCCACATCTCGGTTTTCGGAAATATGCAAGAATAACTGTCAATGCCACTCACCCAAAGGATTGCAGCGAGCAAGACGCCAGGCGGTAAGAACAGAACCCTTGGCAAATCCATACTTTCTGTAAGCTTGCTGCGCATACTCACTGCATGTCGGTACATAGCGACAGCTGGCGGGGATGTATGGTGAAAGCTCCCCTGCAGTACACACACACTAAAACCCCATCATTCTCTAACCATGGGCACTGTCTATCCATGCGAGGAACATATCCCTAGCTAAGTACAGAACTGAGGGTCTGTGCGTACTCTTGTAGAATCGTAAAACAGCTAGAGCCACTTGCACCCCAACATTGTCGACACTCTCTTCCTCCACAATAACAGCAGCATCTGAAGGCCGACACAAAAGTTATGAGTGGCAGATCTGCTCGATGAACGTCGAGGGTTGGCCGCAAAGGGATCAAACATGACTCATAAATGTTCATCGAGTGAAACCGAACCAACAACTGCTTGCTTGCTTCGTCAAGGCCATGTCGATTGTAGGGCCTTGCGAGTTTACCAGGGGATTTGGTTTCATTGTGGTCGTCTGATGACGAACAACAGCCACACAGATGTTGCAATGATCTTTTCTGGTGAATGGAGACTCTGCGTGCCTGCAGCAAGGGACGAATTGACGGAATTTACGCCACTGTGAAGCTCATCGGGACAGAAAATCTCGTGCCAACAAAATGTCTATCATCTACTCTCTTCTCCTCGACCGGCATCGCCGAAGAAAACACGCTTCCGTCCCCGTCAACCGGTGAAGCATTACCGGTTTCACTTCGCAAGTGCTCGCTTCTCCTCCTGAAGTGCTCACCCGCGTTTGTAACGCACGGCCTTTGGTTGAGCGTTGCGTTCTCGAGAGCGGGTGATTCTGAATTTCAAACGAGGAGCGTTGCAGGTCGCCGCTCCATCTCTGCCTCTGAGTACACGCTCCGGCCACATCGGCGCCCTTCTTTCTGCAGCTGTAGCCTGTTCACACGATATATAAGCAAGTCCATGCCATCGACAGAGGGTCACATCCATTCCACTCCACTCGCGAGCCATGGTTCCTGGGTTACGCTGGGTCAGGCAACACGATTCATCTGTAACTTGTGAACGCTGACTGGCTGACGGCAGCGACCTTCATCCAGCCTCACTAACCTGAGACAGAGTGCAGAGATTGAGGGCCGCAAAATTTCGACCTCGAGCTCCGTTCGGCGCAAATTCTACTCTTTACTGTACTCCGCGAGCATCGTCGCCTTGCATGTGCAAAGGATGGACAACTTCTAGAGACTGAACTCGGCTGATGGTACACACCGTCTGAGAATTCCAGACCATCTCCCCGTGGATTCTCTTGTCCTGTCTGCTTCTGCTCTGGCTGAGAAATTTGTTGCCAATTTCGACGAAAGGGACTCGTCATTCCAGTCCACGACGCATCCCGTTCGACATTTATCCACGACACTCGACGTGATCTACAGTCCGAAACTGGTGAGTTTCTAATTCTTTGAGGGCATCTCGCCCAGGTCTGAAGATCTGGCACTCTGCACACCTGAGGGAAAGATATCGTAGCACTCTGCATGGTACTAGGAGGAAAACTAGCGATGGACAACTTACTCACTCACTGCTCCATCTTCTCCTCGCCATCGAGCGAGCGGAATCACAACACTGTGGCTTCTCCCAAAGGAAGCAAGCCTTGCCCACATGTTTCCACGGTGACCTGTCAACCTAGCCGATGACATGTCAACGACCCGCCTTTCCAAAAGTCTAGCCAGTCAGCATAGCTTTGTGAAAAACTTGCAATTTGCATGTGGTAAAAGGGAAGGACCAAAATGAGATCGCCGAATAGCAAAATAAGAGGAAACTGCCAGGGATTAGGGAAAAAGACTAAACGGAGACCAACGGGAGATGGCGAAATTGTGTCAAAGAGACCCAACCTTAGGCCAAGTGAAAGGGTCAGTTTCTCTCCAGGCAATCTCCTCGGCAGTGTATATTGGTTTTCTGTCTACATTTTTCACAAGTAACAAAAGTTTTGAACAATGATTGTAGAAAAATTTAGGTTATGACAGCATCCATAAAACCTCTTTCATATAAGATACATCTTTTAATTGCTTCATAATGAGGCGTTTCTAAAATTACTGATGCTATTGAGCTCTTGAATGATGAGTTGAAATAACGAGGAGGAGGATTACGATGGAAGGGTGTCAAAGTCAGTACACAAGGTGCAGGTTGTAACCACAAAGCAAGAGAAAACAAAACGAATGTTGAGATGGTTATTAGCATATGAAGTTTACATTTGAAGAATGAAGCTTGATGATTATATTTGAGTTTCCAACCAAAAAAAATAGTGACATACACAAGGTGCAGGTTGTGACCACAAAGCAGTAGAAAACAAAGCGAATGTTGAGGTGGTTGGTAGCATATGAACTTTACATTTGAACAAATGAAGCTTGATGATTATTTTTGAGTTTCCAACCAAAAAAATACTGACATATTTTCCTTCTAACTTTAATATTTTTTTTTTATTTTTGTGTGTGTTATACTTCGTTGTGTTAGTTGAAAGTAAAAGTATAGTTAGCTATTTCTTTAGTGCTTGGATATCTTTTTTTATTACTTTCCATGACTAACTAGGGTGGAGTTTGGATGTAAAGGCTTTATATATGTTGATTTGTCCTTATGTAAACTAGGGTAGCTCTATAACTCCATGGTAGTATATAACAGAATCCAGCAATGGGTACCGATACCCATGGGTAATGGGTATCGATACCCATAAATAAATGGGTGGATAATGGGTATGGGCTAGTATGCATGGATGGGTACAAGGAACCCATGGCTATGGTATCCATTGCAATACTCTTCTACAACTCTTTACAGCCCGACAAATGAAGTCAATCAATAGGTTCCATCCAAAAATCATGAGACAATCTGTTTGGGCAATGATTATGTCACATGTTGAAGAGCTCACTTGCATATAGTGACATTATGTACTAACTGTCGGTCTATCACCTTTTATCATATTGTTGGATAAACACAATTTTGCAGCTTGAAGTGAAACTTTATACTAATCAAAGTTTTTTTTGAAAATTCTAATCACAAAACTCTTGTCACATGATTTGTACTTCTCTTATTCTATCCTATGATGCCTCCGCTGAAGCTATCCATTTTCTTATCGATTTGTTGATTAAAGACAATTTTGCCGCTTGAAATGAAACTTTTACTGTCCAAATTTTCTTCTCAAAATTGTCATTGGCACGCCATTAGAAAAAAAAAACACTACAAGTGTTCTTAAGTAACTTTATTTTAGTGATGGACTCATGGGTATGAGTTGGGTATGAATTCATGGGTAATGGGTGGATAATGGGTATGGAAAAGTTGCCATGAGTGGGTACAATTGACCCACTCATGGGTTCGAGTTGCGTATGGGTAAAATTTGAAGCTCAATGTGATACTCTGCTATATAATATAAGTGTAGAGTTAACTTAGTTTTGGATAATAGAGCTTTGATCTTATCACTAGTATAAGACCAGACACTCTAAAAGTCTCTATAGAAACTAGAAGGTGAGAGGTTGAGCTTATCAGAACTTAGGATAAGAGTATGGAGAAGATGAAATCTGACATATTGGATTTATTTGTCCAGATAAGCTACCTCATGGTAACTTATATGGACTCAGTGGCAGACCCTATCTTAGCTCAATGAGTAGAAAATGCCAAGATGAGAAATTGTTGCTTGATGTGTGACCACAATATTAATTTCACTTACGTGTATTGTTTATTGTATAAGCACACAATCATAACCTATGAAGTTGTAAATGTTTTGTTGACTAATTGTTTACAACATAAGTTGATGTTAACTTATGCTCTATCTTCTTCTTTTGATAGGCATTGAATGTGATTCAAGATGAGTCATATTTAAATAATGACAAGAATGAAAAGAATGACAACCGCAATGAATAAAAAAAGTATTCAAGTCTAAGGCTAAATCCTAGAGAGAATGAAAATGATATGTTAGAAACGTGGCAAAAATGTTCACGTTAGTAAGTATTGTCGCATGAAGATCAAAGTGATTGATACTTCTTAAATCAAGATTCAAGACTTTGATATCAAGTAAAATGATTTGCTTGAAGATGATTTATGATATCATAGTATACACTCTACAAATCATCAAAGAATGTTGATGACATCTGGATTTTGGATAATATATTATTTATCAGATCTTCTACATTAGAGACCTTGTAGTATTTTTTCAGTATAATACAGTTTTAATTTTATCAAAAATAATCAATCTTAGAAGATTGAGTATATTGGATTTGTTAAAATCTAAATGTTTGATGTGATTCAATGTACATTGATTTCAATCAAATTTATAATTGATATGAAAAAAATTTGATTTTTTTTGGAAATATAAAATTCATAGAACTTGAATGAAGCTCTAAGAAAATAGTGCTTGAAGTGACAATACATGATAAAATTATGTTAAAAGTACATAAGCACAATTCATGCTAGAGTATATTATCATCTATGATGAATTTAGCTTTATTAGATCTCAAAATGAGACGTCTCATGTTTGAGATTCTAGACTAGTTTACATTATAAATATAAACATGACACTTTTTCATACTAGTAGCTTCTTACTTGTCATAGGTAAAATTGACTCAAAGTTCTTTGAACATTGTATATGAGCACACACAATATACAAGCTTTTGGTGATGGAATCACAATTCTAAGAAGTTATTTGAATATTCATATAATCATGTTTGTGAATATTCTTCAAACTATGTATCTTTTATTCATAATTGATCAAGATTTGTGTGAATTTATAATCTCTTACACAAATATGAGATCTTTACAATATTTTAAAGTTGGCAAGTCCAAGTTGAGATTCAAACTAAATAGAAGATTACTTATTTACGGATAAATAATGTCGAGTAGAACATTTTTTTTTAGAAATTTTGAAGTTACTACAAAGAGGAGTAAATGACTTGTCATTTCATCATGATTTTATTTTGCGACAAAAAAATTTTTTTTAGAGGCTTAATCAAACAATTTTAAAGAAGGTGTGTAGTATATGAACCAATCTAAATCCAAAGTAAAATTTGACTGAAGCTATCAATATTGCAATATGTTTGAATTTTTTTTTTTACTTCTAATGTGTAACATTCACGATTAAAAGAGTGTTTCATTCGAACAACAAGTTATGTGTTCTTCCTTGGAGATGATGTCATTTTGTGCAATTGCAAGAATCAACCCACAATTGCTTTATTCAACAACGGAGTCGGAGTACATGATCACTAGCCAAAGCACCAAGAAAACCAATTGGTTTTGCAAGCTCGTAGGTGATGTGAGATGTGTCCAAATTGATGCAACAACCATCATGTGTGAAAACCAAGTATGCATTGCATTAGCAAAGAATCCAACACACCATTCACGCACAAAACATCATCATATTCAACATCATGTCATTTGTGAGAAGTTGGAGAGCAGGGAGATAAGATTGAGGTATTGTCCAACAGAATACATGGTGGCGGATGTGTTGACAAAGGCATTTTTGAAGAAGAGGCATAATCGATCAGCAAAGTCTATGGGATTGCGAAAAAATAACTACTCGCAAAGTGAAAGCGTTGGAGTTTATGTAGCTCGTAATTAAAATCTAGAGTGTACTTTGAAAGTCACCAAGGATTAGAGTGTCCTTTGAGAATCATCAAGAATTAGAGTGTCCATTGGGAAGCACAAGAGAAGAGAATGAATCTTGAAAGTCATCAGGGATTAGAGTATCCTTTGAGAGTCATCAAGGATTAGATTGATCCTTGAGAGTCACTAAGAGATGTGCAACCAAGTATGTTAATTAAAGAGTTTTGAAAGAAGCTCACATCTCACTCCATTCATTGTTAGAGCAAACTTCTCTGTACTTCTATACTTCAACATGTTATGAGCTCACCATGCTTCCGCTGCGTCAGTCATCAAAGGTTGTACTCATCCATTCAAATACTCTCACTATGAACTCAAATGCACACCTTTGCATCTCATTTAAACAAACTTCCACTTTCCTTGCTTCTACATGCAAAGATGGTTTTGAATGACTTCAAACAGCATCACCTAGACTTCAATGTGCATTTATGCACTTCAATCATATATCAGCATCTCTAGAGAGCAAAAAAGCACATCCACAATATTTGAACACTTACAATGTTGAAAAAGTTGTGAATGAGAACCTCCATCACTCTTGCAACTTTATGTGCCTATTCAAATATCCAAATTAGCCCTTGTGCACTTTCAAAGCTTTAAATGAACACTTGTGCACCACACACAATACTCCACACGACCTTCTTCAGACTACTTAGCAACCAAAGAACTCTTATTTGCAACTCACATGGGTGGATGAATAACTTGTTGAAGTAAAGAACTAGAGAAAAGTTTGCTCTAATAATGAATGGAGTGAGATGTGAGATTCTTTCAAAGCCCTTTACGTATAGTTATTGATTACACATCTTTTCGTGACTCTCAAGGTTCACTCTAACCCTTGTGACTGTCAAGGTTCACTCTAAACTCTTGTGACTCTCAAGAGTCATTCTAATCCTTGATGACTCTCAAAGTACACTCTAACCCCTGTGACTCTCAAGGTACATTCTAACCTTGATGACTGTCAAAGAACACTTTAACCCCCGGTGA